AGGACGCAATCTGAAGTCCTTATATACTACAGAGAAGTGTCCATGACTAATCGAAGAGTGGTTAGTCACATGTACCATAGTGCGATGAATAATACGATGGTGAAAGAATTGCGACGTATCGCACCATAGGATGAGTAAGAGATGAGTAAGGCATAGACCTGTCTAGACCGTTCTGGAGTAGTACGGATTGTCCTAGACAGTACCAGAAGAGTCCGGAAGCATAGCTATAATACACGAGTAGAGAGTCCCAAATATGGTAACATACTACATAAGCGACTACAGCTAAGCGCTAGGAGACGCATAGCCTCATGTAGTCCGGACCGGATAAGTCCAAGTTCAACATGCACTGACCCTCCTCTGCTCTGTGTCGACACTCCCGTCACTGGTACGTCTCTATGACACTGTAAGCAGCCATTATACATCCCGCATACTCAATATGCCTGTTTCTATATAGGTAATACGCATTAATTCGCATTGTGGGCGCCTATGGATCCTCGCGCACCGGAAGAAGAACCCGAAGAGCTTCACAATGGGTGGGGAGCTCTTTTCGACGACGACGACGACGACGACGATTACACTCCGTCCGAGTGCGACAGCGACCGGCTTTCCGACGTATCTGACTGGGACCTGGTCGAAGCTGCCCCCGAGGGTCCCATCCCGCCGATCTACCTCCACAACACCCGGGTCATGCGCGAGCGCCTCGCATTCTCGGTCTCCCGCACGCGCACCAGCATTCTTGATCGCGTCAAGTCTATATTAGCATACATGGAATCTGTTGACATGAATCTACCTATTTTTCTAGATGCTCTTAGCTGGGGCGACAACGCATGCATCTCCGACCCAAAAGTTCAGTACGAGCGGAGCGCCCTCATGGGCAGCGAAGAGCTGCCCCGCATTCTCGAGCGCTGGTACAAGGTTCCTCGTGCATCCACCTCACGGCATCACCACGTACGGCCCCAGGGCGCCAGGGAGGCTCTCGAGGAGTTCGCGCTAGGTTGTGTGGAGGAGATGGTGGATCGCGAGCTTGAGGCTAGCTCGCATCTCTTCCGTTCCCCCTCCGATTGCCTTTCGGAGGAAGGCCTGACTCGATTCCGGTTCTCGGAAGTTGCGGAGAGGTTGCAGGACAAGGTTTCGGGCGCTCCGAGCGTGTGGCGGCTTATCCATGGTGCGACACGGCGTTTCCGTCGTGTATCACAGGGTAAATCTCACAAAGATGTTGTTTCCGTAAGACTTGTATATGTACTTGTTGTGTTCTGGATGTAATTGAATTGTTTGTGTCAGGCGACGGTCACAATTATATCTCAGCTGCAATACCTTCGCTCTCGCACTCTGTCGGCTTGGACCAAGCCTCTCACGGTCTTCCTCAAGGCCAAGGGGACGTCTGCAAAGGTGCTGGACCTCCTTCATGCTCTTGGTATTACCATGAGCCACAGCTGGAGTGTGCGTGCATACTCTCATATCTCCACAAGCGCCATGGAGGCTGTGCGCCTGGCCATTCACCGTTTTCGGTGGTGGCTGGCGTACGACAATGTCAACTTTGCTTTCAAGGTCTTTTCTATGCGTTTGCGGAACCAGTCGCATTTTGACTCAGGGACCACTGGGTCTGTGTTTGTCAAACCATTTGCCCCGCAACCTCCACCACTTTCTGGGGAAGCACTCCAGGCTCAGCGCCGCATTGGTCGCACTAACCCAATCACCCTCTCCGACATCGCCAACTTGGACGTCGCCGCAGCCCCCCGTATTCATTCTCATATTGTCTACACTGTACTTCGCATGCTTCTCGATTCCCCAGAATTCGATTTCCCCACCTACATTCCTCAGACCGACCCAGCCTTTGCTCCACCTCCTCCCGTCAGCCGTCTTCCTGCCGGTCGTGAGAACATCACCAAGCAGTTCGTCCTCGGTACGGTCCACATCGATGAGTCAACATACGAGGGAACACGGGATCTCATCGCTGAGTTCCTCCGCCAGCTGAACCTCTTCACTGCCGAACAGATCGAGCACCTGGCCAAAGTGGCTGCTCTCATCTGGATTGGCGACCAGCTCACCATTGAGCGTCTGCGGGGGCTAGCCAACTATCGCTCTGAGGACCTCAATGGCTTTGATCGCCTGGACTGGCTGGTCTTTGTCTTTGGGTGGTTCCATCTTCTCATGGCCTTTGCAAACTCTCTGCACCGTCAGTACTTTGGCTCGCCCGCAGGGAAGGGCCTGCGCCAGGCCTTTGCGCTGCTCAAGCGCCCCGGACTCCAGTCGGTTCAGATCAAGGGCACCTTCTACCATCATCTTCATGAAGGCATCTTCCATGTGACAGAGGCACATATCCGCGATTGCTGGCGCAAGGTGGGTGGTGTGGCTGAGTTGGCTGAGCTGCGCAACAGGTCCCCAGCCGAACTCAAGCATCTTGCGGAGACCCTAGTCCAGCATTATGCATCAAATGACCGTGTCGAGGACTTGGAACATGTTGCCTCTGGAAGAGAGGATGACTTCCTCCGCCAGGCGGTCATGTGGAACCGTGATGCGTTACACTACATCGTGCTCTGGCACGCGATGCGGCAAGGAGACGTCGGACTCATGGAGGATCTCTTGCCCCATCTCTTCTTTCGCTTTTCAGGCGGGGGAAATCACAAATACGCGGTCGAAATTCTGGAGCTACTACAAGGGTTACACCGTGAGTGGCCCGAGGATGTAAAGTACATGAGATACTCACCGTAAACACAATGAGTGTGCGCTAACATGTTCAATAGGGCATTTGTGCGACAAAATTGTTGGGTCATCAACATGAAGGGGGGCGAGGAAGATTGGACGGCCATTGACTTGGCGATCGAGCGAACCGTCCGAGACGTGAAAGTGACATACAGACCAAGGGGACCAAACCAGTCCTGGGACCTCATGAAGCAGCGCGCGCCTGCAATTCCGACACTACGCACACTCAATGATGACATCTCCAGACAATTCCGAACTATATACAGAGGTATGGGGCACACAACACCCGCCAAGGAGGCCGACATCCGCCTACTAGATGAGCACTACAACCACGCCCGGCTACACATTTATACCCCAGGCCGCCATACTACAAACACTGCGGACAAAGCCAAGGAGTTCGTCAGTCACGGGTTCCACGTTGCGAACACGAAGATCATACCAAAATGGCATACCAGGCGCGCAGCATATGAGCGCGCGAGCTCACAAATTTGGCCTGAGAGTCACCGGACACCCGACGGTACGAGATGTTCGTGCAGAACTTGCAACAATCACACTCACGTAGCTCAGCTGCAGACTAGCGGGACCAGCCGAGGTGCGAGAAGGGATGCGACGACGGAGTGGGATTTGCCGCTGGGGGTTGTGAAAGATGGGAGACCTCTGGTTTGGTGGATGCTGCTGGAGCTGAGGGACTGGGCGGGGCAGGCGGAACCACACAGAATGAGGAAGATGGCGGTGGGCGATACATGTAGGCAGGATAAGTGTAAGGGGAGGATGTGTACACGTTATACGGAGGGGAAGAGTACGATGGCGACTGCTGATTCTTGGCGCGAGTACCTTGGATAGGTGTGGAAGGAGATGGCAAAGCGTAGGCTGGGTGCGCGAATGGCGACACAAGGTAGTGGGGGGGAGAAGCGAAAGACGGGGAGGGTGCGTTGAGCGCGGCGGATGAGCCCATGGGGCCTGTATACGACGCGACGCTCTGAGCCCAGTTGCGACGGGCCTGATCCCCCTCCTGATGCGCCCGGGCGGCCGCTTGTTCGCGCTGCTTCTGTATGGCAGCCTCGGCATGTCGCCGGGCTGTCTCGGCCTTGCGCTCTTCACGTTTCTTGACGGTGGCCGCCAAACGTCGGGCATCCTCTGCGAGATCAAGTTCTCGGACAATCTTGAGGACTTCGGCACCGTGGACGTCGACATGAGGCCAAGGGGGATTGAGGACTCGCACGAGGTCATGGATCGTCTTCACGTCTCGCCGCAGAGACGCGATGGTCGTGAGGGCGCCGTCGGGGAGGATGTTGTCGGCCTTGAGCGACGAAAATTTGTACTTTGTCCGCCGGGTCGTGAATCTCCACTCCACGAGGGAGCTTTTCACGGTCTTGAGATGGGTGCCGGCTCGCCGCTTGGGAGACATGCGCGATCGCAGGGGGTTTTCGGCAGAAGGGGGAGGGGAACCGGTACGAGGTGCTGCGGCCTAGAGCTCATCTTGTAAGCGGTCCGAAAGCCCTACTCAGACAGACACGGTACGTACCTGCTGATTCGACCCATCTCCTTTCTCCTCCCCATCCTCCTCGACCTCCAACGCGGTGTTGAAATCGTGATCGTCGCCGGTGGTGTCGGCGAGGGCATCCGGAGGTGGCGGTGCTGTGGCCAACGCCACCATCGCGCCGCTGGGTGTTGCGGAGGCAGACGCGGGCGGTGGTCCAGTGGTAAGGGAGGCGGCGGCGGCACAGTTGTCGCAGCAGCGGGAGGGGGAGATGGCTGAGGGAACGAAGATGGCTGGTGAGAACGACAGCCCACATACGTGGGCGCTAAGAGTTACGTACGGGAGCGTCGTGGCGGGTTGTCGAAATAGGCGTCTGCAACGTCTCTCCTGCACCCTTCCGCCTCGATCCAAGCCCGCAGGTTCTGCTCCACGGTCTTTCTGTACTTGATGACTGCTGCTGCTGTTGCTGCTGCTGCTGTTGTTGTCGCTGCTTTGAGTTTTTCTTCCTCTTCTTCGAACTCAGAGCCGCTGGAATTGTCAGCAGGTGCGCCACTCTCCTCTTCTCTCACCCCCGCCTCCTTCTTCACCCCCACCCTTTGGATGGCGGACCTCTCTACCAGCATCACTGCCGTCGCCTCTAATAAAGGCGACCGGCCTGCGCGACCGGCCCGTTGCAGCCAGACCGCAAGATTCTCAGGGACACCGAATTGCACGGCAAGTGCGATATCCGGTACGTCCATCCCCTGCGCATGTACTGTATTAAGTTGCTATACTCATAATTAATCGGAAAAACTTACCATTGCTGCTGCTTCTGTCGCGACCAGGATACGAACCTCCCCCTCCTTGAAGCGCCGCCAAGTCTCACGCTTGGAGTCCTCTGACCGTCGCGCATGCAAAAGCGCAATCTCCGGCCGCAACGGGTCCGGTACCATGGCTCGAAGCCTATGCGCAACCGCATGGGTCTTCGAGACATCATTAACGAAGATTATTGTACGTGGTATATCCTCCCTTTTTTCGGCCCCTGCGACTATGAAGTCGAGCGCAGCGAAATCGCTCGCTGACTTCATAAGTCGCATTTCTTGCTTTATGTTCGGACGATCGTTCCCCAGGTTCAGGTGGAACGAACGTGTTTCCTCAATGGAGAGGTTTGAACGTGTTCGTTCCAGCTGAAATGGGGTCAGAGTAGCCGACGTCACCAAGAAGGGCACAGGTGTCGGGACGAGTGCCCGAAACTTATCCAGCCCGCTATATTCGGTTCGGAAGTCGCCCCCCCACTGCGTTATGCAGTGTGCTTCATCTATGATGAACGCCCCAATACTGCTCGCGAATTTGGGTGTCGCGATGAGCTTTCGGAAGCAGGGGTGTTCTGTCATTTCTGGCGACGTGAGGATGATGCGGTACGTCCCCCCTTCGATTTCCTGCACTATCTTTAGGTCCATGTACACGTGGGTAAGTCGTATTTTACATACCTCCATTAGCTTGTCTGAAAACGTTGTTCTATTCACAGCGGCCGCAGGGACTTTCAAGTCGGCGAAGCGCCCCGCCTGCAGATCTCTCGTAAGTTTGTTCCCCACGGAATGTCATCGAAAATCATTCAAGCTTACTTGGTCTGCTTCTAACGCATTAAGAGGAGAGATTATGAAATATATCTTGTCGAATTCTACAAAGGTAGGCATGACGAATGGCATCGTCTTCCCGCTACCTGTCCCCGCTATGACCGTGCAGTCTAATCCCACCAACAGTGCCTCTGTGACATCCACCTGCCACTGGTGTGGTACCCTCCCTCCCATGCGCTGTTGGAAGGTCTCTTCGAGCCTTTGCCGTGTGGCCTCCGAGTTGTACCCACGCGAGGCTTTGGCGGCTTCTCGGGCGGCTTCCAGGATGGCATATGAGCGGCCGTATTCTTCTTCGTGGGAGAGTAGTCGGGGAGTAACAATAGCCATGTAGACTTAATTAGAGCAAGCCAGATAGGATAAGTTAGGAGGTCATTGTAGCCAGTACAGGAGGTTTCGCAAGGTGTAACTACAACAGCAGGCCGCCACATCGCACACTGGAGTCGTCCTCCGACTTTCTCGGACAGCCCCAAAAGGGCGTTGGTATGTCACACAGGTCACCGAGCGGGGAGTCACGGGGGTAAAGCCACCAGACGTTCGAGTGTCCGGATACCTCCGGTTTTTCGTATCCGCTTCACACTCCGAACGTCTGGTCACGAGACTACAGATATGGGAGAGGAACGTCACCGATCCCTTTCATGCCGGTGGGCAACATCGCCTGTTCCAGCTAACAAAGCTGAGCACGCTCACTGTGAGGATCATCGTAATGATTGATATCTATGTCCGCCGACTCTTCTGATACCTCATGTATTGTCTTCAGATTGGCTCCAAAGTAGGCGTGCAGGCTGCCGAAGTCCTGCTCAAGTTGGCTCAGCCAGTTGTCACGACCTTGTGTCTGACGATCACACAAACTGAGGGTCCGTATGCCAATTAGATTCGAGCTCACCGTTATCGCGGGTTTCTCACATCACTACGGCAGCCTCCCAGTCTCTCGGACCTCTATTATCCGCCTGGCCTCGCCTACACACCTTGCTGCTACGGACGGATGTCCAGTCCGAGGCTATTTGGATGGCCACTAGGATCTTGCGCGAACCTCACTCAAGGAGGACAAGATACGTCGACGTCACAGTTGACATGACCGCGCATTCTTCGGTTGCAGGGCTGCTCTGGGAATGCCGTAGAACCGCCACTATTGAGTCATTGTCCGGTTTGGAGAAGACCCTTCTCGAGTATCCCGTCCATCATACCTCATCTTCACTCGACAGATCATTTACCCTGAACACCCGGAAGTCTATCTCGTGGAAGGAAGAACCTGAAAACTGCTTCCTGGCACAGGGACTCAATCTACTGCCTACTACTTTGAATTTTCGATATTGTAGGCTCTGTTGCGCATGTCGCTACGATCAAAGCGCAAGACTAACAGCGATCTCGTTTTAGCTGGCAATGCAGGTCACGACGCGAACGTCACCGCCCTCGTGATCTCTACGGATGGGAGAGGGTCGCGACAGGATCATATGACACCACCATCATTCTCTGGGACGCTAACGTGCATGCATCTGCCGCGAATGGTTCGCCCTTGACGACATTGTCTAGGACCTCGTATTCTCGCCGGATAGCCAGTATCTGCCATCAGCAAGCGAAGATGGTCGGGTCAAGATCTGGGAACGGGCTCAGGATGCGCATACTGTCGCTGTCCTAGAAGGAGACAGAACTGCCTCTACCGGCTGTGCATGGTCACCCGATGGAGCTTTGATTACAGCTGTACACCGGACCGGCCTTGTAGAGCTATGGGACGCGCACACATTCCAACGCCTCCTCGTACTGGACAAGCTGAAGGCCACGCTTTGTCTCTTCTACTCAAGCATCGCCTTCCTCCCCAGCAGCAGATGGCTTGTCTGGAATACATATTGCGGTTGGGGGGTTTGGGATGTCCCTTCCGGTACATTCAATACGTTGGAAGCGCCGAACCAGGATTCCCAGCCCTATATCCACCAATATGATCCTCGGAGTCCCCGCCTCGCTATCAGCTACTCTGACCGCGGATCCAGGATCTGGAACGTGGAGACGAGAGAGGCACTCGTGCTAGCGGGAGCACACTCGGGTAACGTCTTAGCTATGGAGTTTTCCGCGGATGGTAGGCTAGTGCTGTCAGCCTCGCACGACAGAACGGTCAAGGTCTGGGATGCACATACTGGCGCCATGCTTGTATCCCTCGAGGGGCACGAGTCTGCAGTAGGCGCCGCTTGCTTCTCTCCGTGCGGGAAGTACGCCGCATCGGCATCCTATGACAAAACAGTGAAGCTTTGGGGGATTAGCGAAGGATCATGCTTAGCAACCCTCTCAGGGCACGATAGCAGGGTGGGGTGTGTCGCGTTCACTCCAGACGGGACGATGATGGTCCGCAGCAGAGAATGGAACTGTCTTCGGTCGTCGACTACTGGATATGATTCCTAACGAATTCGCGTTGCAGAATCAGTAGCGCTCCGTATTAGGCGATAGCAATCTGGGAGTTCGAGAGACAGTTTTGCTTTTGATGGATCGTTATTCGCAGCACGTCTATGGGACTTGACATCACACGGACATTCATCTCGCCGACTTGATCCTAGAGAGCAGCTAGCTCTGCTTTGAACGACACCATATCCCACAAGCCGAGACCCCTCAACCTTGGCGTCGACAAGCGCATGTGCAGGACGTGTCGCACACGCACTGAACACACGAGCAGTTGACTAGCGTTGCGTCCCCTCCACCCCCGGCGTTTCCTCCATTCCCGGCGTTCGCTCCATTCCCGGTGTTCCCTCCATTTCCGACGTTTCCATTATCGCCCGAGCCATTCTTGCTGATCTCCGCACCAATCGCCGCCCCACCCACTGCAGCGGTGGCTCCAGCGGTCGCTAAGCTTGCCAGCGACGGGGCGACGATCGTAGCACCGAGGCTCTGGCAGGCGGAGAACAGCCCACAGGTGAAGCCTCCGTAGAACATGGACTGGATGCCAGCGGCGACTGAACCTAGCACAACGAAAGATACGCGTTTCCCAGCGCGGCGTAAGACAGGATAGAGGACGCAGATGGAGGACGGGCGGTACGGACCTGCGGCAACCCCGCCTGAGGTGAACCCGATCGCGGGGAGGGCGATCGCAGCGCCGGTGACGGCGGGCGTGGGCACGGCGACGGCGACGGCGACGGCGGCGGCGCCGAGGGCTACTTTCCCCCAGTCCCGCCCCTCGGGCGGGGGTGCGGTCGCTGGGGCTGCTTGGGCCCCGTGCTGGGCGCTCGGGCAAGTGCACGGACGATGGGGCGGGGGACTATCTTCACGCGGGGGAGAGTACGGGGGAGGCAGGTCTAAGGACAAGAAGCAAGCCATGCGTCAGATGCGCATGATTCTATCGGGATTTGGCACGTACCGTGAGGGCTGCTAGGGCTCGGCGATTGGGGTTCTTCGTCGTCGTCGTCGGGAGGCGTGTCTTGTGGCCTTCATGAGAGTGGTGCGCGGAGGACGAGAGGATGACCTACCCCGCTTGAGATCGGCCTTGGGCGCCGTATCTTTTACGTCTTTGGCAGATGAGTCGTCTTCAGGACGAAAGGCCCGTTAGCATGGACGGTGTATAGAGATGGAGGCGGCTCACTTTACACTGTGACCATGACCGAGGGCGAGATGGAGGACTTAGCGGGTGAGGACGGACGGACGCGGGGGTGATATAGGCGACTATGAACTCTATCACGCTGAGGATGGATACAAGGTTCATTGATAGCAGGTGTGACCTGGGGCGATGCCATGCAGTGAATGCATGTTGGAGGTCAAGCGGATGAGGCGACAAAAGCCGTCGCTGTTTTTGGTTGACAACACTTCCGAATTGGGGGCTCGTCCCGTGAACGTGTGCGGCGGATGGGACAGAAGAGTTCTCTTCTACGCTTGATGTGCTGTGAGACCAGGGCAGAGAAGGGGGTCTGGATACTCTCCGAGGGCGATATGTGATACGGTTGCGGACCACGATGTGGGATGCTGCGGTAATTACGGTATTCGGAAGAGGTGGAAGACGGGTCACAAGGGCGAAACGATGATTTTGTTGACGATCTTGAGAGATGCGTGGCAGACTGATCTCACGTTGAAGTTGGTCGATGGTGATGGTGTATGACCGCATCGGCTGAGACGATTCGTAGTAGGTAGAGTAGGTGGCATGTAAGCGTTGAACGCACGGGAAGGAGGAAATTGCATGTGTAGGTATAGATTGAACACGGGAGAGCGTGAGAGAGCGGTGGGAAGGGTACGGGGCGGGACCGAGCAAATGGATATGGACATTACGACGGTGGCACGGCGGAGGTGGAGCGTAGAGCGGCGATGGGCGACATTGATAGCGGCGACGCAGCCTTGAACTCGCTGGCTCTGTATGTCGTCGGCATCCTCCGTCGCACGGCCCCCGACGCGTTTGGTAGACGGTGACAAGCAGTGGCCGCGCGCGTGACAGGGCGCGTCTGGAGTAAGCGCGCGCGCGTCTGGAGTAAGTGCGCGCGCGCGTCTGGAGTAAGTGCGCGCGCGCGTCTGGAGTAAGTGCGCGCGCGCGTCTGAAGTAAGTGCGCGCGCGCGTCTGAAGTAAGTGCGCGTCATCGGTGGCGGCCATCGGTGGCGGCCGTCCTCTCCTCGTCATATATATATACACAACGTCGTCCCAGCCATGGCCCCCTTCCAACTTTCATCACTACTACCGTCCCCATCATGGACGACTCTGACCTCGTCGCCAATGATGAATCTCCCCAGGTCGCGATGCTAGACGGCCTTCCTCAAGACTGGCCCAATCTCTCTCTCGGCGAACACACAGATAATCATCCCACCCCCGATCCCCCTCAAGCCCCTACCCCTTCTCCTCCACACCCCGAGCCCGCCCATGCTGCCGTTCCTCCGCCTCCCGCCTCTGTACAACACCTGTCCGACTCTTTGCCTCCCCCAACTACCACCGATGATGGCCAACCTGCAGTCCATCCCGAGCACGTCAACAAGCCCCTTCCTGCCCCACCCCCACAGCCCCAACACACCGACAACCCCGACCACCTCAAGAAACACCTCGCCGCCGTCCCCCCTGTCGCCACACAGCCCAACGCTTCTTCCAACCTCCTCCAAGATCCCGGCCTCAAAGATCTGGGATGGTCCGACCACGCTCCCCGCCCCGCTCACCTCATCCTTGGCTTGCATAACGGTGACCTCTTCACCCTCATCCGGCGTTTCAACAAGGTCAGTCACTTTCTTGGTTTTCGCCATCTGTCGCGCTGTGCTCGGGCCATGACCCGTATCCTTCCCCACTGGTCCCGTCCGAAGCACCGACACGGACCCCACTACTCCTCCGTCTGTTCCTCTTCTGACTCCTCTGCAGCAAGTACAACATGTTCGTGCCATTCCTCCCCCTCCACCCGGCTTCCTCGATCTCGAGATCGCCAAGGACGAAGAGTTCTCGCCTGACAAGCTCCGTGCCAACCTTGAACGCTTATACATGACCGTCGTATGTATCTCTTCACATCCATCCTCCTGCCTCCGTTCACGACCTGCATATATCATATGCATAGATGATAGGCATGGCCGCATTCGGCAAGCACATAGCACGCCTTCGCTCTTGGAACGAACCCCGCCGTACTGCTGGCTTCGCTATCGTAAGCTCCCCTCGCCCTCGCACGTAGCATATTGCTGACAAGACGCAGGTGTACTTCATATCCTGGTACCTTCGCATACTCCCCGCCGTGCTCATCTGTACACTTGTCACCCTCATCTTCCACGCGCCCTCTCGGCGCAAACTCTTTCCCCCCGCCCCCCTAGCCGCCATTAGCGGAACGTCCGGCAACCTCCAGGTCCCCCGTGCAGGCACCCTCGGCTCGGACGACTCGCTCACTGGCGCGCCCGAAGCCCATCAAGGCGAAGCCGTCGAACAGGAGGCCTCGCACTTTGTCGCGTCCATCGCCGCCGTCGGCGCAGGCACAGTCATGGGCCAGGGCGGCGCCCCGAAGCGCAAGCACGGCGAGGCGCGCGCACACGTCGCAAAGGACAACGAAGGCGAGATAGAGACGGAGGTGGACGCGCAGTCGGCGAGCGGCGACTCGATCGCGGGGGCGCTCCCGGACCCGAGCGAATTTGCGCTGCACGCGAAGAACGTCAAGGACCAGGCGCACTCGGGCGGGGTAGTCGACCCGGCCGCGCAGGTGGCGAAGAAGAGCGTGGAGAGCGCGATGTGGGAGAAGGCGAGACCGGTTATGAGGATCTTGGCCGATGTAGCGGATACATGGGAGAGACTCGCCAAGTGAGTGTTGCCTCTGTGCACGGTCGAGGTGGAAGAGACTCATGGATTTGACCAATAGCGCGTTGGAACCTGTGCCGCCTTTCCCAAAGTATCAAGCTCGCTTGCGCTTGGCCGCTGTCTTCGCCCCTTTGCTCGTCGCGGCTTTCGTTGTCCCTGCCGAGGTGGTCGTCCATGGCACTGCGCTTCTTACCGGTGTCATTTTCTTCTCGCAACCGATCCTCACAAGAACGTATGAGGAGCTGAATCGCCGAGTGCCAAACTGGCGCGAGTATCTAGAGCTCAGGCGGTAAGCAGTCTTTGTGTTGATTCTACACGAGTGATTTGACATCCCAGAGTAGGACTCTTCTCAAAGGTGTGCCGACAAATGCACAACTCACAGCCACCCTGCTGCGTATCGCCGAAGAAGCCAAGGCTCCGCTCCCCCCGCCGCCGCTCCCTCGTCCGCACCACACTGTCAATGCTGCTCGAGCGGCACGTCCGGACGTCTCTCATCCTCCACAAGCGGCGGAACAGCTCAAGTCGCACGATTTTGCGTTCAACACGGACAACTACGAGATCGAGGGCGTGGACCACGACCATCCTCTCGCTCATACGGAAGGCGAAGAGTCAACGGACGAAGGGACCTACGTGGACACGGATCGGGAGAGCGTCGAGGGCGGTGACGAGCCCGACAGCAAGAAGAAGCGGAAACATGGTTCAAAAATGCTCGGTTTCATCAAGAAGACGACGCGCGCAGGCGTCGGCGGCATCCTCGGCGTCGACCATCTCAAGGCTAAGGTGGGCAACGAGCACGCGAAACGCCGCCTCGGCGCCGTCGCGCAACACGACTCCGGTTCACAAGCCGTCCAAGAGGCCACGGACGCGCACGCGGACGAGAGCCTCGGGCCCGTCGACGAGCAGGAGGTCGAGCGCGGGATGGCGGAGAGCGCGCTGAGGCGCGAGGGCCCTACGAGCTTCTCTGCGCGCTTCCACGGGAAGAAGGGCCGCGTGCTCATCGTTTCCAGCGCGGCGAGCCCGTGCCTGTCGTTCGTCGAGGAGAAGCCGCTCCGCGCGGCGCTCACGAGGCCGTCGAAGGTGCCCGGTATAGGCGGGGACGTGTCAGACGGGCTCGCGCCGGAGATCACGGTCGGCATCGCGGACATCGTCGCGCTGCGGAAGGTGGGCGGGTTCGGGTGGAAGGGGAAGCTCGTCGTCGGGTGGGCGACGGGCAAGGACGTGTTGGACGGGCTGGAGATCGTGGATCGGTGGGGGGAGAGAAAGGTGATCACTGCGATCAAGGGGCGGGACGAGCTGTTCAATCGGCTGATTGCGATGGGTGGGCAGAAGTGGGAGTGTTTGTGAATGCGAAGTGGAGGGGGAGTTCAACTGGACTTGAAGTATGACTATCCATAAAGAATCAATCATTGCGGGGTGCGAGAAATGCAACCGACAGCTGTTGCGCTGTTGCGGTCGTTTTTCAGATCTGGAGTCATGAACAAAAACAGGTTACTTTACCAACCGTAAACTTCATCCGGTGGTGTGTGCAGCATACGTAAAGCCACGTGGATATTCCTGAGTTGTAAGGACATCTCCATACCAAACGCGCGCAACCGGTGGGCCGAGCTCAAGCCAGGAAGGGGAGTGAGGCGGAGAGCTGGAGGCTGAGCGTTAGTAGGATCGATTTAATTGACGGCGAGCGAAGTCACCCCCGCACGGAGTAAGCGCGGAGTGGCCCCGTGGGGACCGGAGAAGCAGCTGCCCGCACTCCGCAGCTTCAAGGTCCGTGTCCCATCTTACCCTTTCCATCCGTCCACTGCAGCCTCCCACAAGCCCGGCCAAGGCCTCAAGCTCACCTGGTCATGATACCGTATACTCCGCGCTCGATCGCAGCTCGCTCTCTTCCTCGGGCGACGACGACGCGTCCTGCTCGAACTGCAATCGTCGCCACACGCCCTGGATTACCTCGAACGATTCCCCGCGTGGGCGTGCCTCATAATGTCGCGTATCCGGCCGTCTTTGGGGGCTCGAGAGGACTTGCGACAGCCGCAGGTGAACGACACTACTCTGCCTCAAGACGAACCATGAATCTCAACAGTTCCATCCAGAGACCTCGTTCTCGTCTCTGCTCCCGTCCGCGCACAAGCCGCTCTTCGACAAGATCCTCATAGCGAACAGGTGAGACTTGCTCTCGCCCTGTTCTGCAGGTGAGCACCGGCTGAGTCGGAGCCGCGCGCGCAGAGGAGAGATCGCATGTCGCGTCATCCGCACCGCGAAGAAGCTTGGCGTCAGGACGGTAGCGGTGTACAGCGAAGTTGATTCCGACGCACTCCACGTTCGACTGGTACGTCTTCCGTGTGGCGTCTATGTAGTCTGAGTACTGGGTGTAACTAACAATGTCCAGGCAGACGAAGCGTACTGCATCGGACCCGCGCCGTCGGCGGAGAGCTATGTAAGCGAACCGCAATGTCCGTCGTACCCAGTATTAACCCATACCCTACACCATATCCGTAGCTCCGTATAGACAAGATCATCGAAGTCTGTCGCCAAAGTGGGGCTCAAGTGAGACTTCGTGTCCACATTGTAGCAGCCAGCGGCCGCGCTGACTGATGTCACAGGCCGTCCATCCAGGATATGGTTTCCTGAGCGAGAACGCGCAGTTCGCCGACCGTCTCGCGCGAGAGGGCATCACCTTCATCGGCCCACCCGCAAGCGCCATCGTGAGCATGGGTTCCAAGAGGTACATCAGGCACGCTCGTCCCTTGCTGGCTGACGTAGCTGACGTTGCGTCGTAGCGAGTCGAAGAACATCATGTCAGGTCCGTACGGAACGCCGGTTGGACAGGGGTACGAGTTAACTTGATGTTTGCTTCAGCCGCCGGTGTCCCTGTTGTACCTGGATATCATGGCACGAACCAGGACCCCGAGTTCCTCCAGCAAGAAGCCTCCCGCATAGGTGATCCTCACGCTGCCCCTCTTGTTGGGCAGAAGCTCAATGTGTATGCGCAGGATACCCTGTACTCATCAAGGCCGTCCACGGCGGAGGCGGAAAGGGCATGCGTGTCGTCCACTCCGAAAGCGAGTTCCGGGACGCGCTCGAGTCCGCACGACGCGAGGCGACGAAGTCGTTCGGGAACGCGGACGTGCTCGTCGAAAAGTACATCCAGCGCCCGCGGCACGTCGAGGTACAGGTGTTCGCTGACAAGCTAGGGGGATGCGTGAGTCTCTGGGAGCGAGACTGTTCGGTGCAGAGGCGGAACCAGAAGATCATCGAGGAGGTTGGTGCTGACCTGGTGGCTACTATATTCTTTTGAGGACTTACATATGATGCCCGCAGGCACCGGCACCTGGCTTGTCGTCGGAGCTGCGAGCAGATCTGAGTGAGAAGGCGGTCGCCGCTGCCAAGGCCGTAGATTACGTTGGGGCCGGGACGGTCGAGTTCATCTTCGACAATGACACTTCAAAGTTCTACTTCATGGAAATGTACGTAGGACTTACTCGGTAGACCCCCCCCCCCCCCAGCTGCTGACATTCACGTCCAGGAACACGCGTCTGCAGGTCGAGCACCCGGTCACAGAGATGATCACCGGCCTCGACCTCGTCGAGTGGCAGCTCGAAGTGGCCGCTGGCAACCCTCTACCCCTCTCCCAATCCGCAATTCCGCTCGTGGGACACGCCTTCGAGGCACGCATCTATGCCGAGAACCCGCGCAACAACTTCCTCCCTGACTCGGGCCAGCTCCTCTATCTCTCAACGCCCGAACCCACGCACGTTTTCGCCCCCTCGCTCGAGGCGTACCGCATTCCTGTGCCTGAAGGCAGCTCCGGCTTCACCCCAGTGCACAATACATCCGCGGCCATCGCCCCAACCATGCGCCTCGAGCAGGGCTTCGAGGAGGGGGCCCAGATAGGTGTGTTTTATGACCCAATGATCGCGAAGCTCGTTGTGCATGGGCAGGATCGAACGGAGGCGCTGCGGAAGCTGAGGACGGCGCTGGAAGAGTACAAGGTGGTCGGGCCGTCCACGAATATTGAGTTCTTGAGGACGCTCGCAGGGAATCAGGCATTTATCGATGCTGAGGTCGAAACTGGCTTCATTCCGGTATGTCCACGAAGTGATCTGAGGTTGCAGCATGGATATAACTGTGCGGGTCTGACAGAAACACTTCAACGAGCTGTTCCCGCCTGTGCCAGAGCCATCCCATGAAGCACTCGCCCAGGCCGCCCTTTTCGTCGTCCTTCGCGATCATCCCGCGCCGTCGACTCCCTCGCCCTGGACTACGCTCACCTCCCGTCGCTTCGCCGGCGACGTCTATGAGCGCACCATCACGCTCCAATCCGAGGAGGCGTCTGCCTCGCCATCGACAGTTCACATTCGCGCGTTGTCCAACGGCCGGTTCGACGTGACGACGCACACGGCGTCAGGCTCACACACGTTCACGAACGTCAGCGCGCACCTCGCCTCCCCTACCGCCGTCACGGCCTCTCTGGACGGCGCGCTCGTCCGCACGACAGTCGTTTCGCAGCGCCCGCCTGCCAACGTACCCGCGTCGAGCGGCCCGAGCACGATGGAACGGCTGCACGTCTTCCACGGGGGGAGGAAGACGACGGTCGTCCTGCCCTCGCCCGAGTGGCTCCTCTCGCTCGGCGGAGACGTGCTGGGCGCAGCGAAGGGCGCGCTGCGGGCCCCGATGCCGAGCGTGGTCGTCGAGGTGAGGGTGAAGGTGGGTGACAGGGTCGAGGCGGGGCAAGCGGTCGTCGTGCTGGAGAGTATGAAGACGGAGACGGTGCTGAGAGCGCCTACGGGTGGCGTCGTGAAGGCTGTTGGGTGCCAGAAAGGGGAGATGGTCGAGGAGGGAAGGGAGTTGGTGGACGTCGAACCTGAGGAGGGCGATGCTTGAGGGTGGGGTCGACGGTGATCACGGACCGTTCACGATCACAGCAACAAACGGCTTCGTACTTTACTGCCACATCTGGATGGACCGAAAGAGTTGTAACGAAACTTTATTATACTCGTCAGGGTGCATGCGGCTTGACTAAGACAAGTGCGGCGAGGACTAATCTAGGGCACTGGTGGGTTGAATCGCCAGACGAGATCGTACTGACTGAGATTATGTTACGGTGGTTATTGAAGCTTTGAAGGATGTTTCCGAAGATAGACTTGCTAGCTGATCTGACAGAACACATGGATCCTAGACCGAATCCTTCCTGCGCACTTCTTGCACTGTTCAGCAACGCGTCAACTTGACGTTCAATCCCGCTCTGTGTCCGACGATACATATTACCATCATCGATATCTCACCGTGCCGCCGGTGAGCTTGTAAGTATGCACACGGCCGTGATAGAGCTACAGCAAAAGTCAACGTACCATCGAAATCAGGGCGCATTTGAGAAAGTAAATTGCGCTGCCCTTTCGCCCTATCGCTTGGGCATTTGAGGGACAGTAACTATGGGTTGTGCACGATGCCGCTGAGTATCCCAGTAAAAAGGCTCAGAACCATCCTTAAGACCCAAAGGAAGATCCCTAACGCTCTTGGACCCTTACTGCGCATGGGGGTCCCTCGCTCTCTGGATAAGTCGACCTAGTACAAGATAAGCTCTTGGGGAGTCTAAACATACACTCGTTTCTGGGCGGTTTCCGCACTCAGTTCAGGCCGATGAGAGCGATCGAACGGCTTGCCGCCAGGATGGACACCCTAGACGTCATGCAGAGTCCAATCGTATTCGAGCCTAATAACGTTAGCCGTGCAATATGCCTTTTTCCCGTAGACTATGGGTGAGTACTGGGAGATAGCAGCTGAGGCAAGCATGGGAAGAAGTTGGTGGTCGGGATGAAGGTGATGGGCGTCTGATGGCGCGGTGTGTTCCCAGCCTGTCCTCCGAGAGCCAGCCTCCGACCCGCGCCTTTCATCCATCCATCCTTCTCCTCCTCCTTCCCCTCCTCGTACTCCCTCACCACCTCGGCCTCACCTCCTCCCGCGCCGTCGCTCTTGGCCACCATGTATGCTCAGCCTCAAGCACGACAATCCGCCAGCTTCACCCCCGACTTCGAACAGCGCCGCCCATCACCGTCACAGGACCCTATACCCAACGGCCGCCCAGGCTCCCAGTATTACCCTTACCCCCAGCAATCTCGCCAGCCCCAATACAATCAGCACGACGACGCACCCTATGACGGAGACGGAGATGACTTTTTCCAATCCCAGTCCCAGTACGACCAGCCATACGCAGCCAGATCCGTCGCCACTCAGTCGGTCCGCGCGCCGTCCCCACCCACCGGCCCTATCCTCGACCATTCCCACCTCCGCCCGGGAAACCAAGCCGCGCTCCTCTCGCACGAGCGCACGCTAGAGCTCTATCGCGCAAACGCGAAGAAGACGCAGGACCCCGACCTCCAGTTCGAGTTCGCCGTCTTCATGATCGACGCCTCCAAGACGATGCCGATCCCGTCCCCAACCCCGGGCAACGTCATGGAGGTCGAGAAGGCCATCGCAAAGCGCGACGACCTCGTCCACGAGGCCATGGGCCTCCTCAAGCGCCTCGCAGACCGTGGACACATGCCCGCCCAGTACTTCCTCGCCGACTGCTACGCCAACGGTATCGGTACCCACAAGAATCGCCAGGACTTCGACCGCGCTTTCCCCTTATTCGTCCTCGCTGCTAAACACGGCCATCCCGACGCAGCCTATCGAGCTGGAACTTGCTGTGAGAACGGCTGGGGGTGCAGACGTGAGTCTGCGAAAGCCGTCCAGTTCTACAAGAAGGCTGCCGCGGCCGGCCACCCAGGCGCCCTCTACCGCTTAGGCATCGCCGAGCTCAACGGGGAGCTGGGGCTTTCGAAGAGCCCGAAAGAGGGTGTGAAGTACTTGAAACGATCTGCGGAGGCTGCGACCGCCGAGTTCCCGCACGCGCTGCACGAACTCGCGCTCCTCCACGAACGCGGCATCGACAACGTGCTATTCGTCGACTACGAATACGCTGCGGAGCTACTCGCGCAGGCGGCGGAGCTTGGGTACGCGCCAAGTGCCTACAGGTTAGGCGAGTGCTACGAGTACGGCAAGATGGGCTGCCCGCAGGATCCCGCACTGTCAATACACTACTACGTTCGTGTTTCTCTCCCCTTCTCGATGCGTCCCGCCTGCGTTCATCCTCCCGGATGAACATTGACCTGACCATCCTGCGTACCCGCGTTTCTCTCCCTGCAGAATATTGCCGCGCAGCAAAACCATCGCGACGCGTGCTTCGCATTGACCGCATGGTATCTCGTCGGCTCACCAGGCGTCCTCCCACAGTCCGACACGGAGGCGTACCTTTGGGCACGGAAAGCGGCAGAGGCTGGGCTTGTCAAGGCCATGTACGCAGTCGGATACTTTCTCGAAGTCGGCATCGGTACGGAGCCGGACATGCAGGAGTACGTGTTTCTTCTTACGTTCCTCGGTTCTCTCCCTTTCTGTCGGTCTTCCACTCTTCGTCCCTGCGGATATTTCGGCACCTTTCGGGCTTATGCTATGCTATGCCTTGTCGTGTCATCGCACTCGCGAGCCAAGCATCATCTGATATCATCACCTCTCGTTCTAAATATATGCTCATGCTACGCCTTGTCCTTTGCTAACACATCCTTCTCCCACATCGCACACAGGGCGATACAATGGTACAAGCGCGCGGCAGAACAAGGCGACAAACGCGCGGCGCAGCGGCTCAAGGGCCCACAGAACACTGCCATGGTCGCTCCTGGGGGGCCTGGCTCAGTGTTGCAAAGACACGAGAACGGGAGCGGGGACCTGTCCACATCAGGCTCTGGCAAGAGCGGGAAGGACAAGGATTGCGTGATTATGTGATCTGCGTAGACGAGGAGGGGAGCGTGAGGATTGGTTCGGTGCTGATGAGGAGAGTGGGCGGGCGCGAGATACCACTGCTAAAGGACTGCGTGCCACAGGATGGGGAGGGAGCGCTCGGACGAGACGAGGTGAAACGGACACTTTCATTCCTTCAGAAGCGACAATACTAGCGCAGGACTCTAGCTACTGTACACGAGCTAATCAAGGCCGAGGAGCATATGGTTGCATCGTCATTGCTGTACTGTATGGGCGCTCGACGCTCCCCGACGCGGATGGCCTTCGAGCTTGGAAATTAAACACACCAGGCAACAACGTCTGCAAGCACGTCGGTCGGAGCTCGTATTATGCGGCCTTGAGCCTGCATTCAGTGATGTATTCTTTCGGGGCCTTGGATGCGATGCGGTAGAACTTGGTTTAATATGGGCGAGTGGACTGGTTGGTTAGACGATTGTACTATCCTTTCAAAAACCTCCGAGTTCCATTGTCCTATACAGTATGTGATACAACAAGCCATGCATACAACAGCAACAGCATCAAGTCGGCTAATGAACATCCTTATAGAACCCCGCAGGGGCTGTCCTTGCCGCGCGATAGGTAGAGGTACACGAAAGTGGTACTGCCACCTCGGGGACAAGACGCCGGGTACACCCCAAACTGCGTAGCGCCCCGAGCATCAAGCTCAAGTAGGATGGTCCTCAGGGCGAGGTGAGGCTGCTTGACCTGATGCAGAATCGCACAGGTTATGCGAGAAGAACCCATTGGACCTCCGTGATCACGATGGACCCGGGCCTTCATGCTCCCCAACACGCTATTCGTAAGGTCACAGTTATTAGCATCGTCCATGTCTACGACCGAACCGCTAACTCACGTCGTCAACCCATATCATCTGCATCTTCGGATGCGCCGTGAGATGCTCGGGGGAGGCTACGACGGGCGCAGGACTCGGGCACGGGATAGGCATCTCGATCCGCGGCTCCCTTTCCCATCCCCTCTCTCGTTCTCTCTCCCGATGGCGTTCACGCTCCCCGCTGGAGGTCTGTGGCCCCAGCTGTGCCTCTGGATAGGCTGAAGGCATCGACGAGCTCCTCCTTGTCATGACCGTCCGCCAGGACACCCTGATGACCCATACGACGAGGTTGATCAGCCGGTGGATGCCGAATATCACAAACTGGCTGGTGAGGAGGAACCCAGCGACGAAGGACATGACAAGCACGGCGGTCGGCCAGGCCGTCCACGCGACGGCGAGGAGGAAGAGCATCAAGGAAAAGATCGAGATCGCCATGCAGAACATGGGCAATCGGCAGGTCAGACAGAAGAATATGTACTTGTTGTACACGTCTTTCGCCAAACGCTGGGGTGTTGATGAGACGTGAGTGGGCAGGGCCGTATAGAGAACATAAGGGACTCACTAGAAACTTGGCACCACTCGCGCCGCTGTACAAGACGAGGAACCATGCGTCGTACACAAGACCAAGGCCAGCTGCGATCGCGCCGATGGAGATAGAGCCTAAAGAGAACCCGTCCAGAACGAAAAGACTGCCAGGTGCGAGTCCAAACACGGCCGCATTGATTCCAGCCAAAGCCAACAACTAAACGTCCAAATCAGCATCGTCGATGACGCCACCACAACAGGAACAGCACTCACCGACGCCCCTACGACATACCACTCCGTCAGCATCCTGCCGAGCACCTTTTCTGCCTTCTCACAGTCCCCCTCCGCGTCCGCCTCCTTCAGCTCCTCATACGGCGATATCCAATACAGACACCTCTCCATAAACGACAACGACGTCTGCGCGCTCACCACACTCCCCTGGCCCGCATGCTGCGGCAATATCCTAGGGAAGATTGCTGCCACCTCTCCCTCCCCCTCTTCCCGGAACTTCAAGCCTGATTCATCTTCGTATATAGGAGGGAAGTACTCGGTTTCTGGCGTTTTCGGGTAACATGACTCTTCGCCCGAGGACGTCTCGGCGTGCGAGTCGCTGTCGACGTGGAATCCTCGCATTTTAGGCTTCTTCCGTCGCCGTCTGAGGCCGACTATGCCGTCGAGACGGTCGCTCTCGGGCTGCTTGCCCCAGGGCATCTCGTCCGTCCTCTCATCGGGCGTGTTCGAGACCAAGGTCTCCGAAAGGCCACGCGATGCTACATGCAGGCAGAGCGTGAGTGAGACGCACAGAAGAGACGATGACGAGTGTGGAACGCACATGACGGCGCGTCAGACAGTAATGGCTCAGTCTCGTAGTGTTCCGTCATAGGCGTGATAGGCCGCGACTCGTGTGACCGGGGTGGCTCCCTATGCGGGACTACGAACCGCATAGTGAGCGTGGCGCTATGCTGCTGCTTTGCCCAAATCGTTGCGCTCTTGTGCTGAGGGGGCGGGCATGACAAGCGGACGTCATATTCGACTGGCCGTGGGTGCGGGAGGGGGTGTTTGCGCAGGAACTCGTTCAGCGACACGGACGCAGAGCCGACGAGGTTGCGTTTCCGGTGCTTTTTCTTGGTCTGGGATTTGTGGAAGACCTGGACGTCGAGTTTGGTGGTCAGGCTGACGTCGCTGCTGTGATGAGTAGGTTTGTCAGCAGTCCAGCACGAAGAGGCCAAACGAACAGAGCGCGGGATGTTATGAATCGTCGGGAGTTCTACGCTACGCGCAGATTGACGAGCAGACAGCGGACCCACGTCAAACGCCGGGGCTGGTGTAGCAAGCGTAGAGGACACCGGGAGAACGTAGGGTGAAGCGAGAGGTCACGGTATTGGGCACGACGTATCTGACACGGAAGAGGAACTCGCACCCAAGCTCAAGAGGATGGCAACTCACATAGAAATACCTGATCTTAGATTCGGGTTCTGTCCGTCGCAGCCCAGCACAACTTCATGTGGCAACCCATGGTCGCGGTTCCGGTCCACGATCGAAACAGAAACGATAGGGCGCCACGACTTCTCTGGGCGCAGGAATGTAAGTCCACGCGTGCGGACAACTAGAAACGCGGCGAAAAGTCAGGTTCAGTCTTCGGGAATTCGCTGTGAGCACTGCGTACCGGTGAGGTGCCATGGGCTGAAGGAGGCAGGAACGAAAGGGCATGATTAGGTCAAGGCTGACGCGCATAGTCATTCTAGCACACGTACTCTTGGGAGTCCATAGTGGACTGCTGGAGGTGTCTGAACCGGGTTTTAGTCCGATATCACAGCTGGAGTCAATGTGGTTCAGAAGCTAGCTGCCGGAGCGCGCGGATATGAATGTGAAGCCAGCACGGGCTCGGAGGTTAGGAGACGGAGTGACACAAGGAAAGGGATATATATGCTACCAAACGACGGCGCTCAGTAAACCAGAGGAGGCAGAGGGGATGAGGGGAAGACGACTGGACCCGGGGTAGACGGAGGTGGGATTGCGGCTCGCCGGGAAGCTCAATGTACAGTTGAATATCTAATAATGAATAATGAATAATGTCGGTAGGCCCATTTTCGACCGATTTTCTATTCATTATAGGATTTATGCATTATGAGATGCAGGATTGGCGGTGAAGCGCCCATGCGGTGAGCCCTCGACCTATTCATTATGAGATAGTATTCATTATTAGAGTATTCATTATTAGATATTCAACTGTACCTGATTGACGCCTCTCCGCATCGCCCTCCAATTCTATCCTCCACCTCTCCCTGCCGAGGCATTGCCTCGGAGGCGGCAGTGCCCACCGAAGTGACCTATTTCTGTTTGTCGATGGTTGACATCGTGCCGTCGTCACCTCTTTATCCGATGATGGTTGAGCTCAACAGCCATAAGTACGGGTCAGTTTCAAGTCGGTACTTACGATGGCAGGCGTTGGATTTGTAAGTTCCAAATAAGGGAGGCGTCTGGGATGGTAGCACTCGAATCCAAGCCCTGTCAGATGTTACCAGGTTCCTGGCCACGTTTCTCTCCCGGAGGCACAGGGAACGTGTGCGGATCCCTAAAGATTCGTGGACAAGGATCAAGCTCAAGACTGGCGTGCTTCCTTGACCACATCGAATGTTCCCGCACGCTCTTCCCGGTCGCGCGCCCAGAACATAGACGAGAACTCGGATAGATGCCCATATGCATGGAGGCTTGTTCCAGCGAGGCGATGCATGCTCGTCCCAAACACCTACACTCGTACAATCAAGGATTCACCGCCATACCGACTCCCTCCAGTCTATTGATACACGTCCATCCGTCCACTTCACTTCCCGTTCATCTTCTCAGCCCGATACTCCAGTCAGAGGCCACCGCCGTTCAGGATGTACTCTATTGCAGAGTGGACGTTCCCCCCAGTTGCGAGCAGCGCACGAACGTTCTGTGACGCGTTCGTGAAGCCCATGTCTTGCAATTGCTGCTCCCCATCCCACCCTCATCAGCACCTACTCCACCCACAAGCAGGCAGACGTACCTGAAGCTGAACCTGGAACCTCTCCTCAGGCGGTCTAGTATCCGCAGGTGCAGCTGGAGCACCAAAGGCACCCAGCCCCCCGAACGGATTCGCGCCCGCACCTGCTCCACCAAACGGATTCGCGCCCGCACCTAATCCACCGAACGGGTTCGCGCCTGCGCCCCCGCCACCGAACGCAGCAAGCATCTGCTGCATCACCGCGGGATCAAACAATCCACCTGACGGCGGCAGCGGCGCTGCACCTGTCCCCGCACCTGTCCCGGTAGCACCCGCACCAGCGTCAGCCCCAGTGCCGGTGCCAGTCGTCGAGCCAGTACCAGTACTTGACGGGCTCCCTGCGGGAGGAGGCGCGCCCCAAGGGTTCACGCCACCCAAGAACGGGTTGAACCCAAAACCAAACGGGTTCGGGGGGATACCGCCAGCCGGCGACTGCGCTCCCGGCCCCGCCTGCGGTGTTGACCCCGGCTGCTGTTGCTGCTGCCTTGCGGTCGACGGCAAGCCAGGAGCAGGGAACCCTCCCGCCCCGGCCCCTCCCAATCCCCCGAGCCCACCCAAGCCGCCAGCGCCAGGGGGGGCAAGACCAGACTCGCGCATCATGTTGGACATCTGGAGCATCATGCGAAGCGTCTCCGGGTTGGACATCATCTGGCGGAAGCGCTCTGAGCGGAACACCTCGCGGACTTGGGGGCCCATCGCGGCGAGCTGGGGGTTGGAGTTGATGATCTGGTCGAGGACGTCGGGGTTAGACATTACAGAGGACATTTGCTGGAGGAATTGGGGCGAGTTGAGCATGGATTGCATCTGTTGGCGAGGGCGCGAGTTAGAGCATGTTTGCGATGTCAGGCACGGATGTATCGCGCGGAGGAAGATCGAACGCTTCATGCGTTATAGGAATCAGAGGTCCCTTCGCAGCTTGGGTGGAAATAAGAAGGCGCACAGCATTTCGGTACGCAGGTGGGAAATCATAGCAAGAAAGCAACGATAAGCGCACCACCAGCATCTCCTTCTCCAATCACCCCACTCCCTACCGACGCATAGCCAACTCCACCTCTCCCAAAATTCGACGGCAAAGCAATACTCACCATGTTAGGATCGTTCGGGTTCAGCCCCATGTCCGCGAACGGGTTGAAGCCCGCCATAAGCCCAAAGCCCATCGGCCCATTCAGCTGCGTCAGCGGATCGTGCGGGTTCTGCCCCGCCTGCATAGTCGGGAGCTGTTGGGGTGCCGTTGGCTGAGCGGAGGGCCCGGAGCGTGCGGCGCCCTTCACCATGTGAATTGTATGCGACGACTGGATCTTGTACGTCGAGAGCGCATCCTCATCCTTCAATACGCGGCCTGGAGGCGTGCGCCACAGACGTGAGTCAGCGAGCTACACGTGCAGGAGGACAGGGATAGAGAGATAGAGGAAGTATACACACCAGAATAGATGAGCCGTTGGCGGTCAGCAGGGACGTCAGACTTCTCCGCGATGGCCTGCTTGAGGTCGGCCACTGTCTTGTCCGTAGCTATTGTGATCTGCAGCTTCAACTCGCTCGGACCTGCGATAGCAAGTCAACACTCATGGAAAAGGACGGATTAATATGGACTACCTTTGACGTTGATAGAGATCTCAGAGGAAGAGGCAGCAGGAGTCGATTCTGATGGTGTTGAGTCGGACATGGTGAGCGGTGTGTAAGTGCATGTGAGCGCCTAGTATGACGATAGTACGCTTGGATAGGCGCCATCAGCCGGTATTGCCAGATCTTGCTAGATTACCGTAGATGGTTCTCGGTCTCTCGCGCTGCCAGCCTCGTGCCCGTCTGCCTAGTGTGCGGATAAGTAGGAGTGACCAAAGGTCATGCCAAATTGTATATGTAGTGTAGTCTACCGCTAAAAAATGGAGCATAAGAACGTCGAGGGGAAGCGTGGGTCAGCTATCTACCGTACCAGAAGAGACAGTACTGCTGATATTCGTCCGTGGAGAAGTCGTGTCCTCCGTTCGCGATAACTTAGCCCTCTTCGACTCCCCCGCAGTTTCCGCCCCATCGGAGCGCGCGACGTCAGGCCGTTCCTCCGAGACGGCCCTCTTTGCGCCGCGGGATGCAGAGTCTTCGGCAGAACATTCTGATGAGCCGTCGATGAGGATACTACGTGATGCGTAAAGGATCAAGGTCACGGACCTACTACCTCTACGCCACTCTCCTTGCCCTGCGCTGGAGGCTTCGCAGCCTCTGGCTCGGCGGGCAACGGGCGGATGTAGGGCTGCGCGAGCCAGTGGGGCAGAACCGGGAAGCCTGTCGCGGGGTCGATCGGCGACAGCTCCTCGAGCGTCCTATCCGAGGCAGCTTCAATATCGCGCTGTAGCCTCTCCCTAGTGAGCTGTCTGGCAGAGGTTCTCAAGCGCTTGAGGAGCTCACCTCTAGTCGTTCGTCGAGCTCTTCAATGATCTCCTCATACTTGTCCCAGGCTGTCCCCCCTTCCTTATCCCTGTCAGCACGTTCTACCCGTACCCGACCAAGCCTTTCGCGAATGTCCGTGTACTTGGACAATGCTGGACGGAGGAGCTTGAACAAGTGGCCCTTCACCGCGCTCGGCGTCGTCAGCGTCTTCTGAGACTTCACGATAGCCAGGTACTCGAGCGCTAGATGCGTGTTCCGTGGGTGCTGGCCGGTAAGGTACTGGGACGCAGAAGATGTGGAAGCGACAGGTTCAATTGCAGAAGGGTCTGGCTGGAAGATGGCTGGGTTGTAGAGGTTGCCCTCGGCCGACATGACAGCGTCTGCGCCGGTCGCAGAGAGGCACTTCTCAATGTCGCCGTGGAAGAGGATGTTTCCATTCGCAACAACGGGTACTGAGACCGCTTCCTTCACGGCGCGAATCTTCTCCCAGTCTGCTAGCCCCTAGCCAGGATGTTCGGTCAACCTTCATGTGATCCGCCGAGTACGCGACATCACGTACGCTACGTTGACCGCGCTGCTCGCGAATACGTCCATGGCAAGTAAGCATTTGCGCCCCGGCGCTCTCGAGCATCTTCGCGTACTCAACTGTCTTTTCGACTGTAGGGAAGACGCGAAACTTCGCAGTGACAGGTATAGATAGGTTCTCATGCAAAGTATGAACTATGAACGAATAAGCATTGACGTGCCACAGAATAACACCCTTAACGTACTCAGTTTGTGAACGAGATCCCATTCGTCCTGTAGAAATGACCCATAGTGTCCTCTCCGCGCAATGTCTTGAGGGCAACCAAGGTTGATGTCCACGGCGTCGCAGTAGGGTTCGAGCAGCTTCGCTGAGGTCAAAAGCTGAGAGGGATTGTTCGCACAAAATTGGACAATCAAGGGTCTGTCTTCAGGACCGCCCTCCTCGCCATGCACAGTGTCGAAGTTCTGCTCTCGGTAGGGCTTCCGAGAACCTTCGGCGTACATCTTCGCATTAATCATAGGCGTGTACACCAACTATACTATCATGAGCTTCCTAGTATATTCAGTGCCACAAAGACGCACCTGTGCACCATATTTCCTAGACAGCTTCCTCCATGCCTGCAGCTCTCATTCACGTCCCGCCAGAGACACAGCTGAACGAAAGTTACTCACCAGCTCGCTCTGGTCTACCATAGGCGCAACGATGTACTTTGGGCTCCCTAGGGCCTTTTCAAAGAACTCGTACCCTCCCAACTTTCGATTCTGGTTTTCGAGTGTGACTGCAGGCATGACGATCCTGCGCGCGAGGCCTCGCTGAATGAGGCCTAGTAGAGCAGCAATTGTGACAACCTATAAGACAGATATGATACGTAGAGCGATTCGATCTGAGACGGTGTGTGAACGGAGAGTCTAGACGGTAGAGAGTCTAGCAGGCCTGAGCGTGTTGACGAGCATAAATGACAAAGTGATCGCAACGGGCGCCTCAAAACTTCAAACTGCACCCTCTGACAGTACTCCGGAAACGGCAAGGGCCTCACGTTCTACTCTAGCCAGAGACCCTCTAGACAGCATCCCTTCCAAATGTTCAGGTTGGATGGTATACAGTCTTATGGTGTACTACAGGCAATCAGCGACTTTTCGCTCCGGGGTATTTCCCAAGCAACTGATATCAGCGTTTCCCGAGGCCACCACCTGACCTTCCTTCCGCGAACACCGGGGGAGTCATTCTCGCATAGCTACTTAAACATATTGTAAGCGGTGTCCTGCCTTGACGGTTTCACTGCCCGCAATGCTGCGAACGCGAAATGACGTTCGTTCGCAAGAATCCCGAGCGCCCCCGTCGGCAGCGCTGCCGTGCGGTATTGTATCTTGAGTGGCCAGCCAAAAGGGTAGTGTGACTCCTTGTACGGGTTTCTCGCCCTTTGCTTTACCGATATGGACACCAATGGCGCTCTTCGTCTCGCCCTCAGCAGTACTCAGCCCCTTCCTGGTTGACTAAGGTTCGCTGGCGAATAACCCCACAATGGACTGCTTGATTTCTTGATACAGAGGACGTCGATGGGAGAAGGTATGGTGAGCGCACTTGAAGCACGTTCGAAGCCCTGGCGAACCACATTCGTTCTTGCCCCTGTCTGATATTTCGGCACCGAGATTGAGTTGTGCAGCGATGTTACCTACGAAGGCGCGCAGGTTGAATACCGCGATCACATCCAAGGCACGCATCCGTCAAATATACGCAGTGTCGCATGTATGTCGCTGCATCCCTGTCACAATGGTCTGACTATTAGCAGCGCGGCCACGTCTCCGACTTTGATCGGCAGTATTTTTTGGTTCTTTGTTGCGCGCCGTTCCCAAACGGCCACCATTTGGGACTACGATGCTCGTTGAGTCTAATATTTGGGATCCTGCGGTACGTAAGTTCTTCTCAAGTGAGTCATTGCAGTTCAGGACGGTCATCTCGCACAATTTCGAATGCAACATGAGCCAGGCAGTTAAATGCACCACACCAGTAGGCACTATCCCCACCGCTCTCCTTTACTTGAGTTCGCGGCAACACCGTTCTCTCCACCTTCCTCGCTCCTCTTCCTCACAACCATGTTTCCCCGCTCCATCGTCGCTATTATCGTTGTCGCTGCCGTCTGTAGCTGTATGTTTACTGTTAGAACCGAAATCCGCTTTGGTGACTGACTCCGATTGTAGCGGTGAACGCGCAGGTTTCTAACTGCGCCCGTAACTACACCGTCGTCTCAGGCGACACCTGCGACGAGATCTGTGCCAAGGAGAATGTGTCTAGCTTCCAGCTTGCCACGGTGAACAACGCGACCATCAATGCAGATTGCACCAACCTGTTCCCTGGAGAGGTGTGTATTGTGAGGTCAAAGTGCTCAACATTTGCCACTCATGAGTCCTTTGCAGGAGCTGTGCCTCGGCATCGTCGGACAGGACTGCGAGGTCACACATGTTGTCGCCGACGGCGACACCTGTGAGTCCATTGTGGAGGCTGCCGGGACGACCTTCGATATACTCCTGGAGAACAACCCCAACGTCGATAGCGAGTGCACCAACATTCATCCTGGAGAGGTAAGTCATGTCCGCGCTCAAATAATTTATACTGGTTCTGATATCTCGTCCGTTGAAATTCAGGTCTTGTGCACGGCGGATGACGTGATTGTCCCGCAGAACTCTACGTCGACTGCGGCTTGAGGTCATAAGCCGGACATGTACATTATGTGCTCGGAATTATGAATGTTGGTAGGACATGCTATTATATCATATTCAGCTGGCGATGGCCAGTGTTGCTCTACGGCTCCTGGTCCCCGGATCTACAACGGGGGAGCGGTAGTAGGGACTTCAATGTGATCTCTTCCACCACATCGTCAGGATTCAGATGCTCTGCAACGTATGTAGAGATATAGAGGCGTATCGAGACTGTGGTTCGTATTCATTGTAAGATCAATACACTGAATACCGATGAGTCACCCGGACACGAACCGGTATAGACCCTCAGGTGCCATAGCGATAAGCTGTGACTAAACACAGATCATTCCCCCCTTCTCCCCTCCCCCGAGTCTGTTATGTTTAGTGCATCTGCACGACGACCTTGTTCACTCTTACGCCGTACTTGGCACAGATCCTCTGCGTCTCCTCCCACCATAATGGCACCTCTATCCCAGTGCAGACAGTCAAGGTGCCCGGAGAGGGAGTGGCAGATGAGGTATCGGCACTGGTGGGTGGCCGGGCGAGGAGCCCTTTCTTGAGGGCAGCCCCAATCCCATATTGGATCAACCCAATATCTTCTAGCGTCCCTACCCTGTCTTTCCTGGTGTGCACTTCCAAGGTGAGAGAAACGAGGCCAGCCGGGACGTCGAGGTTGGCGAGATAGATAGAGAACGCCACGGTCAGCGCGCGCAGGTTTGGGAACGTAGTCGCCAGACTCTGGAAGAGCGAACGCTTGGTGCCGAACTCCGAGGACCTCCCGGCCAATCGCAGGGAGGTGACAGACGGGAAGGTGAGGGGGGAACGTGTGACGGCGTCGTAGTCGACGCTTATAGTTGCGTCGGGGAAGCAGTCCTCGTAGTCCATGTCGACAGACTTGAGTGCCGCAAACGACTTGAGGGTCCTGATGAGCGCCCACGGCACGACCCAAAAAGTCGTGCCATCTCGATGAACTTGCACAGAGACGGAGCGGCAGTCGCTGACTAGATCCTGGACAACGCGGAAAGCGTGGTCCCCACTCCAAAGGCCGCCAAGGATCCTATCAGATGGGACGTTTGATCTATAAGCGAATGGCGATTCCCCGGGATCGTCACAAAGGTGGATCGGCAACTCCAGGCGAATGTGCTGATAGTAGCGCGGCCCGTTCGAGCGAATGGGCTCATGAGCCGAACCTTCAGGCGTAGGAGGACCACGAGATCTAAGTTGAAAGGCCTTACGCGACTGAAGAGTCGCAGCGTGTACTTGCATTGTCCTGTATAGCTTCTCATCCAGGCTGCTCCCGACAGAGAGAACGAGAGGCAGTCGAAGTGCTGCAATCTCTTGAACGACGGAGTTGACGCACATCAGGGTGCGGTAGAGGTTGCAACGTTGCAACGGCTCGGACGTGGACCACCACGCTTCTTGGATAATAGGCTCTAGTATCTCCACGGGGAATGCTCTGCGCGGAACGACATTTCCGCACGCTGTAGTGGGTGGCCTTAGTACCGCGCCAAAGGCGAGGAGCCTTCAAGGCGACATACCGTTTTGGACCTCGTCGCTCATAACCGTGGAGTGGTCTTCACCAAACAGGAATCTTCGGAGAACCCCCGTACCGAGGTTGAGGGAGATCGGAAACATAGCCGTAGGTTGCAGATCTGCAAAGGCAGGGAGGAAGCGAAGTGCGTACACTGGCTGCATAACCTTGAGCACGACTCCTAGAAGTACTCCAGTCGACCATCTCATGATGCATGGCGTTGGTACCCCGATTTCGACGCATCGTCCGATATTGGGCATCGTCGGACGGCCCCTTGTGTATGATTTGTCCCTTGGTCCCTGCCTTGCAAAGATGCGCATTGTTGAAAGGGAGCTCATGCGTTGTGAGACAATTGAATGTGAGTGATTGTAAATCAGGTGTCTTTCCACATCGCGAGTTGTATGTACGTACCCGAAAGCAATGTTGCCTAGGCGCCCACCCGGGCCCTCCCGTGGGCGCAGCAAGGCAAGACCGTCGTTATGTTCAGGGAAAAGGAGATGCTGCCTCCATCGGTAAGGCGTCTTGGCAGAAAGGACCACAATGCATGCGGACGAACAAGGAACAACACCCGCGCCACCACCTTTGGAGTGACGAGCATCGCATCGCAACCCATCGTACAGAGAGAGAACCCCAAGAATGTCATTCGTGGCAAAGCACGACAACGAGTGCTAGCAGTCACAACGAAAGCGTCCATGTCCGCGCACATAGATAGTACGATACGTAAGATGGTGGTGTATACTGTAGTCGGGGTAGTAGCGGCAATTATTCAATGTCTGTCATCGCGTCCGCCATGGCCGACCCCTCGCAGCCCGGCGCGTCCCAGCTTCGTTACAATGACCTGCCTTCTAGCCTTCAGCCTTCGACATCCGCGTGTCGAATTAGCACAGATAGCCGATCGTCCGGCGGCACATATAACGTATAAAGGAGTGTCTATTCCCGTAAGGAGCGTGGGTATTGTTATATGTGCTACATCGCCGCGTAGTGCTGGCGTACCGCCTAGAGGGCTGACGCGCAGAAGTTAACGACGTTATCGGCGAAGAACCTGCTCGCTACTCACCCGCTCACTTCCTAAGTTGCTCGTACTTGCCGGCCATTGACGGAGAGTTACTCTGGTTATAGGGCACGGTCGGCATAGAGTCCAGCTGGAGGTTGGACCGTGAGCGGGCCATAACCTCCGACGCAACGTCGTTTCCATACTGCTCCGCCAGTTGGCTGAACAAAAGGCGTCAGTGGTAAGTCACGCCAAGACGGTAGAGGAGACGGGTGAGACGTACTTAGCGTAATTGTCCATGATAACGGCCATGCTGTTCATGTTGAGGCGGTACGCCTTTGGCATCATGCCCTTACCGAAGCGGTACGTAACGTGGTTCGAGCAGAGCAGAGCCGCGACCATGATAAACAGCTGCACGGGGACGACCGAGAACACGACCGTGTACCAACGCTCGAGGATGACCCGTTCGAACTGGATGTACGGGCCCTTGCACCCGGGCAATAAGCTGCGCGCATAGCACGTCTGCGAGACGGTGGCCTCAACGAAGGGATTGAAGTATCCGCAGCAGTGAAGCTGGTTCTGTACGCGGAGGCGGCCGTCGAGCCCGAGTTGGCGCGACCATTGCGCGTTGACCTTGCCCTCAAGATTGAACGTGCGCTTCTTGTAGGTTATGTAACCGGGGGTGACAAGCATCGCGAAGCAGATCCAGAGCAGGAAGGAGTAGGTGGCGAGGAACGCGCGGTTATTGAGCAGGATGCCAGACCAGCCGATGAGGGAGGTGAGCACAGCCAGCGACGCAGCGACGGTCGTGATGATGAGCTCAGTCTTGTTTCCGACTCGGATAATGTCGGCATGCGTCCAGACATTGAAGTGGATGAGCAGGGTTGCAATTAGACCTGTCAGCGAGTAAACGGAGAACTGTTGGAAGCGTCAGCGGCAAGGTCGCCATCGAAAACAGCCGAAGCGAGAGGTGTGGATTTCTGGACCGAGCTAGTACTGACACCACAGGATGGATGACAGCAGGAGCTACAGTGTTCGCGGCCGACCCTATGTATCATGAAACACAGGGTGCTGCATGCATTCGTAGTTCACCGAGCCGACCGCGAGGAGCGACTGGTAAATGTCGCATGGATGCGTCCAATTTGGGAATGACGACATTCGATCGCGAAAGGGTCGACCGGCGCTAGTTCGGAGGACCAAGGCTTGGGTATCCAAGGCGATCTCGGGTGGCCTCGCTGGCGGGACGCGCACAGCTGATGCTGCAATCCCGCCCAAAGCGCGCCCCAAAGCGATGTCCGAGTAATACACACAGCATGTAAAACGAGATGGAAAGGGGACCGCGAGTAAAAGGCGGTACAGAACACTCACCACTAGGTTCGAGAAGAACAGGATCCATTTGAAGCGGTTCCACCGCAACCGGCCCTTGCGGCCACCCTGCCCGAAGGACACGCCATCGTAGTCGTCGTCGCCGTCGCCGGGCATACGGGCTTCGTTGGCTCTGAACGCTTCGCGACCGCCGCCACGTTTCGGGATGGGGATGTCGCCACCCTTGCCCTTCCTCCGTTTCATGCCTCCGGAGAGGATGTTGGAAGAGAACTTGGACGGGAGGTAGTTGACGGATAGGGATGTGGCCTTGCCGTCCATGAGGGGGGTGTCGTTCTTGGGCGACATGGAGCGGAAGGAGCTGGCGCGGGAGCCATAGGGAAGGGTGGGGGGGTCGAGGCCGCTGCTGTTGCTGTTCATGCCGGCTAGCATATAACGAGTGGAATTGGCGGCAGACTGGATGGACGGAGAGTGAGAATTGACGGAGGACGAGCGTGAGTGACTGGCGTCGTCGTCGTAGGGTTGTTTGGGGGGGAGGAGGGGGTCAGAGTTGGAGGCCATGGTGGTCGAGACGAATGAAAGACTCACGAAGGACTGCGCTCCATCTAGACGCCGCGTTGCATAGGCGGGACGGTGAGGGAGGGGGAGGAGGTGAAGGAAAAGATGGCGGTGTTGGGATAGGAAATATCCAAGAGCGTCAAACGGGCAACGTGGGCCTGAGGGGGGGATTCGCACGTACCGGCGCAGGCGACGGCGTCGCTCGAGTGTCCCCGTGGCCGTGCCCAGAGCTCGTATTCGACGAGTCGAGGTACGTAGACCACATCCGCTGCATCGTACACGACGCTATCCTACACCAGAGTACACGGAGAGTCCAGATCGCCAATCCCCGGAATCGTGTCGCGACCTTTATCATCCCTCTCCGTCTCCCATCCACTAGCCGTCCACGTGGCGCCCACCATCTCCATCGCACAATATTTGTTCTCTGCACGCTGCCACCGTTCTATGTATACTCCGCAGTCGATCCCGGAATGTCTTGCCCAACCCCGACGCCCTTTTCCCCTGACCCCTTCTATTTTGGCCCGCTCAGATGCGCCGCTCCTGCCGGCCAATCGCCCGCGCGCCCGTCATCAGTGTTCCCGGCCACCACCTCCTCTACAGTTCAGCGACAAGTTGTCATACGCTCCAATATCATCCGTTCGTTCGCATTAAGTCACCAGCACGATAAAGTAGAGGATGCTTCTGATTGCGCTCGCAGCCTTGCTCGATCAGATCTCAGATCCTGTCACCCACCCATGAACATTTCACCCATGTGGTCACAGCAAAGAGTCCGCCCCCTGGGGTGTCGTGTCACCACTGGAGCCACAAAGGCCAGAAGCGTATGCTGCGAACATCCCTACAGCTCATCATATGTCAGGACGGGATCTCCAAATCGCATTTGGCCTGTCGCGGCGATGACGTGAAGGAGTGGGCACACAACAGAAGAAGGCTTTATAGCCTCCTTCGACCCCTGCGTGCCGAAAACGGCGGACGTTGACAGAAGTATAGGTCCCGTTATATCACACCCAATGCCACTAACAATAGCACACTCACGGTCTATGCTCTATCTATATACGTGCCGATGATGCGGAATCGAAGGTGAGGATCACGCTCCGAACAAGGCATGGTGCGGTTCGATGTCTAATGATCAACTTCGGGCAGGGATGTCGTTGGCTCAATATTCTCATGCGAGTTCGACTTGAGATATCTGCTCCACGATGATGAGAGGATGGAAGATGGCGGAGGGTCACGGTGCTGGACTTGGAGGCAGGTCACGTCCCTGTGGATATCACTTGACGATTCTTTTTGGCCACATCTGCGTAGAGAAGCGGTCGCACGCGGTCCCGGGATCCCACCGCTTGCTCCCAACCCGATCCTGATAGGATGGCGCAGCCTGCGATCGAGTTTACATCCACCGTGTGCTTCGCTCTGAGTCATAGTGTATGCCCAGTGAGATCGTACATGGGTTCGGCTGTATTAAGTCGTATAGCACGGTATCTAGTCGGTAACCCCGACATCATACTTACTTTTATTGATTTCCCTGCTTTGCTCGTATGCCGTCGGATACGGTCGTGTGCCCGCACGATCCTATACAAGTAGCTTTTGGGTGAGCTCGTGCGTCCTCGGATGAGTCTGGGGGTGCTCGGGTGTTTTCGGGCATGCATGGTTACGGTCGATACACATTGTTCGATACACATTTATTAATACTGTATGTTATCGTATGATGTTGTAAGGATACACAGTGCGATACAGCTACATCCAGGGATTGTCGAATACAGGGGGCGCATACCGGACACGATTGGATGTCATTGGATCCAGACGAGACCTGCTTCTCATCGCAGTGGTGCGCGTACACCACACCAGTCCCCCTGCCCGCATGAGTTCTTGACGTTTGCGATGTACGACTCGCGAAGGTCGTGTGGTGACTGGCATTCGGCAATGGGACTCAATAGTGGTGCTCCACACGTACCGTCTACGCGGGAGCAACACGTCCGAGTTTCTGCGTTAACAATAGATCAGCCTGGCACAGGAAGAGAGATAAGGCGACCTACCCTGCGATCCGAGGAACTGAGTGTCTTGTAGTGCGCCTCAAAAGCCTCCAGCGTGCCATTGGCATCTGCGTACCATTTGCGGGCATAGACCCACCTACCAGAGCCGGTGAACCCAGTATCTAACACGATGAGTGAATGGAATGGTACGTACTTTGCGCCCTTCAGGTCCGGTGCGGGAGGCCACTGCGTCGTCTTGCGAGGGGCGCGCGGTTTTTTCGACGCAGTTGTCTCCGCGGGCTTGGAAGGCTGCTCGTTCGAGGGGGCAGTATCTGGGGGGGTGACGTGTTGGGGCGGGGACGCAGAGATGTCCACACCACCCTCCGCGGGGACATCGGGGTTGATGGGCGTTGGGGAGAGCGTTGAAGTTGCCTGTTTGGAGGTCGAGGGGTATGGAATCGAGGCAGGACTGGGTTCAGAAGGGGAGGCAGGCGTGCCGACTGTCAGATTCATGGTGGTCGATGAGACGGGGGGGACGATTAGCATCTGAGCCGGATCCGATGAGGTCCCTGGAACGGATAGGGAGACTGGGACCGACGTAGTGGACGTGGTGGTGGACGTAGTGGATGTGGTGGCGGACGTAGGGGACGTGGTGGCGGACGTAGGGGACGTGGTGGCGGACATAGGGGATGTGGTGGCGGATGGTCGTGCGAAAGCCAGAGCGGACTGGGAAGGAGACGTAGGGGTGGGCAGAGATGGCGGGAGGGTGACGAGGGCGGACGAACGCTGTTCAAGCCGTAACGCCGTGCTGTGTGCCAAAAAAGTAGATGTGAGATGGATGCTACAGCGGAAACATGACAACACCGACGTTGAAGTCGAGATCTGGCGCGAGAGAGGCAAATTATCAACTGAGCAACCATGCGAGCAGGAAATATAGTACCACGGAGAGCAGGCTAGGAGTTGCTCGCTGCTTGCCCTTAAACTTCTCTGAAGGGCCTGGGATGGCTTGCAGAGGCCGTGAGAGACTGACGTGAGCATAGGGTCTCGACTTCATTTTTAGACAGATGAACATACCGACGTCTTGCGCGAGACCTGCCGTGTCCCGGCGAGGCTGCTTGCGAGGGCCTGTGTCGGCATCATCATCGCTGGGGGTCCTCTTGGAGGGAGCCAGACTGCGGGCATCCTTCGATGTAGGTACGTGGGCCACACGCTCCGACTCCGACTCCGACTCAGATTCTTCCATGGCGGATTGGCTTCGGATCGTGTGGAGGGCTTGATTGAGGTCGACGGCCTGCGAGCTTGCTTTGTCCCACTTGCGCGTGACGGCCTCGTAGTACGTGTAGTACATAAAAGTGTTCCCCTTCCAGTTGTTGTGGCAGAGCTGGAATAAGGGGAACTTTTTGCGGAGCGCGGTGTAGAATAACTCCTGTAACCAAGTATCAGTGTCGCCCCACTTCCTAGGGAGCGGGTAATCGGCTCCTCGGGCGAGGTTGATTAGGGTTCGGGAGAACTTGCGGGCGTCGTTGATGTAGTCGCCCGAGGCAGGGGTGCCGTTGGGGTACTCGATGTAGGGCGCCGTATGATTGATACCTTGCGCCGACATCTTCCTGCCGCGAACAATTTCCTCCCCAATGCGCGTGGTTTTTTTGTTGTTGTTCTTCCAGTTTGTCCACTGGCGATCTGTGAAGAATTTGAGCTAAGTGGAAGATGGGGAATATTGTGAGTAAGCTGGCAGAGGAGGGGTGTTGGGTACGTACTTTGGGAAACTTGCTTTGTTCGCGCACACAGTCGTACCCTAGCGGCTCTCGGGGCGACAAAGAATGGGTGGCAGTGACAGACTCGAAAACGAGACGTTTGAGCGTGGCTGGGGTGATTTGAGATCGCAAGGCAGGAGAAATTTGGGCGGGACGTACCTCGGGAGTCGTCGCCGTCGCCGGTGGTCGTTTTGGGTGTGCTATCTGTCCTTCAAGGAGGTCGTTTTCGAATACATGAGATTTAGACATGGTCAACTTACTGAAGCGCGTCCAATCGTATACCGTGTTCGGTCAGTCGTCGACTAAAAATGTGTCAGAAGAGTGTGTGTGTGATACTCAGGAAAGGTCAGTACTGCAACTCCAAATAGTCTTGCTCTAGACGATGGAGCCGCACTCCCATTTCGATGTATGCGACGGATGTGTTGTTGGGTGCGGGAGAAAGAGACGAAAGGGATGTGCCCTATGCATGAGATAAAAGTGAGTATATGCGCACTAACCCGTACTGAATAACTCACCAATGTCAAAACGGGGTGCATATATGCGGGGTTCTGATCTATTGCGGGAGAAGACATGGAAGAAGGAGAGTAGCTGAAGGCGTTGTTCGTGGATAAGTGATACTCGGAACTGTGAGGCAAGCTTGGGGAGGGCTCTACACGATGTGCGGAGGGCTCTACACGATGCGCAGAGGCTGGCAACAAAAATGAGGGGGTATAGGGAGACATATGGGAGTGTGCTTGAGAGGGAAAGGAATCGTCAGGGCGTGGCCTGTGGAATATGGACTGCGAACGCGAACGAGATGGGGACTGTGTGTGTGATGCCGAGATTGATTGAGACCTTGAGGGTGCCATGCCAAAATTACCCTGCTGTAAAGGAGTAGGAGGAGGGGAGGGACTGGGGGATTGTTGAGACATTGTTGGCTTGCGAGAACATGGGCTAGTTGAGAGGAGGGATGTGAGTGCGTGCAGGACGTCTGACGTTGCAAATTGACGCCCATGACCATAACAAGCAGGCACGTTAGCATTGCTTGCGAAATGGATTTGCACGATCCGCATCTTATTGCCTTCCATGATCTGCGTCTTCTGCCCTTCTAAGATTTTCAGGCTGTGACCTTCCATTGCCTCTCCAGCTCATCTGTCTGCCGCTGTGGTACCATGGACGCCATTCGCCGGGTGCGTGGGCTGGTGGCCGATGGCCCACCATATCCGGAAGACACACCTCAGCCGCTTCTAGAGTTCTTGACGGCAATGGGTGGAGAAGAAATTTTTTCGGAGGACGCGCGGTATGGGTCTCTGCTTGTGTTGCTCTAACCAGGTTTCTCATTTGTGACAGACCTAGACCTCAGCGACGCGATTACAGTGTACGATACTTCCTGCAGGCTTTCGAAATGTTCCCTTCAAATCCACCCCCCGAGGACGCACCCGCGAGGACCCAACTGACCTACAGCCTTCTTCGTCTGGCCCTGTTGTCAGCGCGCGAGGCATATTACCTTGAAAGCACGGACACTGGGCTCGCGGACCCTCTCGATGACACTTCTGCAGGTCAATTGTTCCTGGACCTGGATCGCAAGTTTGGAGACGTGTGCGGACACTTGTTGGATGCCAGCAATTTGGGCGAGATTCTCGAAGACATATGGTGAGCCCGCAATATTAGTTCTGATTCTCCAATATTCATTCAGGCCCTTATTCGCAATGCCCCCTCCATAACATTAGCCCCCCCTCTGATGAAGACCCCATCTCTCATAACCAGCCTCCTATGAAGCCTCCCTCTCATGATCTCTCGTCTGTCAGCCTCCCCTCTTGTGCCGTGTCTCCTGTGTACCCTGGCCGCGCCAACCAAAGTCTTGTCTCCCCCTCAAACCTCCGTCCTCCCGAAGCTCCCAGGGGCCACACCACGATGCGCCCACCTACTGTTGCCCAGTCGCGCTCTATAGTAAGTAGTTCTACTCAGCACCGCAAGCGCAAGTCCAACACATCCCACGATCGCACGCCTGGCCCCTCCGCCCCTTTGCCAACTTTCCGTTCGTCGGGATGGGTCCACAACATGTCCCCAGGCTCATCAACGTCGACGCCGCCATCAACGTCAACGCCGCGCAAGCTCCCAAGACCTGCTCCGGCACAGAGGCCCTGCAATCCATGGGACGACTTCAGCACCGCCTTCTCAGGTTTCTCCAACAAGCGTCGTACCTAGCGTGTAATGCCCGTGGGTTGCTCGATTCTCACTTGTGTCCCTACATTATCCTGTACGAATCGAAGTGTATACAATTTCATGACGGTGTGTGCTACACAAGTAAAATTGTTCACTCCTCGCCATCAGGGTCATCCTCGTCTGCAACTCTCTCCTCGCGGCCAATGAAAGACGCATCAAAGCCCAAGCGTTCAACGACAAAGAACCTGTTCGAATACAACGCGGCAGCATGGGGGTCCTCTGCCTCCTCTCGTCTCGGAGAGAGAGGCAACATCGCCACAACTGAAACAATGTCCTTCACCTCAATAACCTCCCGGGAATCGTCTCCTTGATACCGACAGGCCATGAGAACGCCATAAGTGTCACGTAAGATAGCTGGGTCGAGGGGAGTGAAGATCGAAGCCATCGCCAAAGTCATGTCGACGTTGTCGGTTCCGCCATCCTCTCGCATCTTCTTCAGGCCAAAAAAATATTGAATTTCTGCGAACCGTTCATCTGCAAGCTGAAAAAAAATGTTGTACTCAGGCCACCCGACAAAGGCATGTGATCGCACCTTGACCATGCGTGACCGATGCACTGGGCGACCTCTTCGCTCGCCCTGGCATTCTTTCCAGGCGGTGCGCGCAACTTGTCCATTAGGGAGTTGTAAGCGACCCCATTTAGCTATACGAGGTCTCCACTCTAGGGGTACCTGAACCGCACGCGCACTGAGAAAGGTGTTGAGCGCGCGTGAGTCTGCATCTGAAACGAGCGATGGGGTGCGCGCGGTAGGATGCATAAGAACATATCCATCGCCAAGCTCCACAGCACCCATAGGAAGTTGAGTTCGCGGTTCTAACGCCTCTGGGAACATGGCCACTAGTGCGCTAACCTGGGCGCGGCGAAGCCCTCGGAGCGAAAGGTTTTCGTACGGTTTTGAATGCGACCCGATTTCGGCCGTCAGGTTGCCGATTGCGTTCTCGAGGGGCCACTGTGAGTGTAACCAGGCTGGGCCGACACGGACGTTCTCTGGCATGAGATGTGTTAGCCCATGCAAAGCTTGGCGGCAGAAATGGAGCCGATCCACACGGCGTGCATAGAAGTATTCCTCGAATTCCTCCACATATTCGACTAACAGATTGTGCGCTGGTCCCCGACGCTCGACAGGAGTTCTCATTAGCAGCGCGACCCGAGCACCATGAACAAGTTTGCAGAAGTGTGCGTGATACTTAGGCTTTTGTATCGCCCAAAGGAGGCCAGGTAGATACCCGTAGACGTAGTACATGTATTCCCAGGCCTTGTATCCGCTGGAAATTTTCTCCGCGGGGTTCCGAGGTGGCCGATCAAAAGACCCAGGCAGATAGAGAGACGCCTCGGCGACAAGCTTGCCATGCGCCTGCCAGACATCGTCATCTCGCAAGCAAGCCCAGTCCCAGTCCTCCAAGGGATCCGTTCGTGCGTCCCGCTTCAAAGTGCCACGTAGTAACCCAAGAACAAGTTCAGTCACGTTGAGCGTCAGCAAGTGCATAATGTCGGCAGGAAAGGACCCAGGGAAGCCACAGTTAACAGGAAGCCCCATGAAGATAGAAGGCTTCGCGATTCCAGTCTGAAGGCGTTTTTTGATGTATTGATTGTGCGTCCCACAAGCGAGAACCACTGCCAAGTCCCGTTCATAACGCGCGGAGTTAGTGTCGTCAGATCCAGGGGGTTCACGAAGGGAGTAATCTGGATGATTGCTGCCTCTGACGCGCGCATAGTCGGGGTCCGATGGCTTCAGCATGGCCGGATAATAGTGCCCTCCACCACCAGGTTTCTGACGTCCCTTGAGAGGACAGAAGAGTCGACAGCCATGTGCCCCAGAGTGTCCGACAAGTCTGTTCATGTAAGCCATGGCTGGCGTGTCGCCTGTAGCAAAGAGTATGACAGGACGCGAGTGCATCACCTTCTGTCGATAGGAATCCCAAATCTTGAGAGGAGAGTTTTGAAGCGCGGCGACGTGGTACAGCCCAGGGAAGAGGAACGAGTCTAGATTCTTGGGCTTGTTTGGACCTGGGATGAATGCGCCCGGTAAGACGTACCGCTTCTTGTACCGAAGATCGGGAGCAATATCGAAGAGAATCCAGATATAGATCCAGCAATCCGACTGCTTTGATTCATAGAGCTGAGCGCCGTCGAGTGAGAGCATCAGAACCAGATCATCCTCAAGAATAGTCCCAGCGTCGACTAGTTTCAGATACTCCTCAGCAAAGAAAACATCTTCGGCGACCTCGACCATCTTCTGAGCGTGCGCCATATCCAAAAGACGCTCCATGAGTTGCTCGCGGTGGCGCATGCGTTTTGCACAATGACGCGATCGGTAGAGAGCCTGAACTTGAGGCCCTAAAGGGTGCGTCTGAAAAGTACGCCGCGCGACGCGTTTGTTGCCGCGCATTTCGTATCGCGCGGCGCCACAGGTGTCGTACGGACAGCGATCCAGCCCGGCGAAAGGGCCTGTGTATGCGACACAAGTTTCCGGGCACATGTCAGTGATAATCGGGACAACTCCACTTAGTTCTTCCACAGTTTTCTGCATCGCCTCGTAAGTAGGCAGAATGAGCCCCTTTTCGTACCGCATCACAGCCTGCCTGTTGGCCCGATACGCCTCCTCCGAATGGCCATTCGCGATGAATTGATCCAGAGCCAGGAGGAGCTCGCGATTCTCGGGCGCCATGAGATCAGGAAGGTCGCCATCTTGCTGTGGGTTATGCATACGTTGTATCACCTTGGGATCTAGGCCTGAGTCTTCCAATGTCGCGCCTTTGAGAGCTTTGATGAAAGCAATCGAATTCTTCAATTCTTCCAAAGTCGGTTCCGGCAGCGATCCCGTCGGGTCGTGATTTCCGTACTCGGGCTCCTCCTCGCTCTCCGGGGGAGGCTGGGCGTGCGGGGAGGACTCACGCTGGAAGATGTCAGCGGAAAGGGACCGTGGTCGCTCCGGCTCAGCATCCTGGAACGGAAGGGGATCGTCTTCAATTGGTGAGATCTACATCATATCAGCGACAGCCCAATGGATCATGAACAAAAGCCCCTTCCAATCGAGAATCGCATGTTCTCAGACTGTACAACTGCCACGCGTGCACACGCGCAACCAGCGCGATATGTGGAACGCGACATCTCCGACGATCATTGAGGCGCTCATGCGCTGAGCTCACGAAGTGCGTGTATATGCGCCGTCCAAGCTCGGCAGATACCATCATTGCGACGACAGCGTATAAAATTTGAACTCACCTCGCGTGAAGGCTCGCGGTCTTCACGTGGGTCGTCTTGAGGAAAGGCGAACGATCCTCCTGCAGAGGACGGGCCAGGCTGTAAGTTGTCAGGCGTCCGTCGACGTCTTCTGCGGGCCCTCGCAGACGGCTGCCCTGTCGTTTGAGCTGGATGTCCGGTCCCGAGCGCGATGCGAAGAGCCTCTTGTAGGCGTTGGTTGCGATACCGGGCGTGGTTGCGATATGTTGAGTCCGAGACCTGGCGCTCCTGGCCTCTGCAGTACTTCGTGCAATTGCAGCACTTCTTCTGGGGCGTCGGGTTGGGTGACGGTGGCATTGCGAAGGGTTGTGATTCCAGTGGCAGGGTGGTTTGGATAATAGTAGAAGTTGCCGGACTTGGGAGTACGAGGGCACAGCTGCACGCACAGACCAAAGGGCACACGTTCTGATACGCTGACATAAAGTCATGTATTACATAGCTAGAGACATGGTACAGACAGGTTAGAGACAAGTTAGAGACAAGCTTCAGTCGACGTCACCGGTGTCAGGACATGCGGGTTGCGTGTCCGATCCGGTCACCGTGTGGTCAGTTGGAGACATGGATTGCGCGCCTAAAATGGTCCGTCCAATACTAACCGAGACCTCCCGACCTCAGCCGCTCTGACACGAATTTCCCCGATGTATACCAGCTGAACCCATGTAGGTTCTCACTGGGGTGTATGCTCCATACAAGCCGGAGAAGAAGTGGAATCTCATGTTCTTCGCGGTACGTCGACTCAAGTCTCCATGTTGGGTGACTGCCCGCTGCTTAGTCGACCCACAGCGAATATCACCGGTCAGGTTACCTTGGCATTGAAGCGTTATGGACTGGGTGCCTGCAAATCGTACAGAAGTACTGCCCGCCTGTGCGATCCGCACAATCATAGCACATGCGTGGAAGATGACTGGAATAGCGGACGAAAGATGGAGCTTACACGAACAGCTCTCCGCCGCCCACCCTCTCCTTCAGGAGACACTCCACGTCATAATCCGTTTCCCCAGGTTCAAGTTCGGACCTTCTTCCAAGGACATTGACCTATGCGAGCTCGCCGTCAGGAAAGCCGCCTCTGCTGCGAACGCCAAGGGCGAGAAAGTCTACAATCCTCTCCTCCCTCTACTTTATCAGCGATCACATGTCACCCTCGACTTTAGCATGCTCTTTGATGATGTCTACGGTCCTCTCCATCTCGACCACTGGGACTCCTATATGGAAGAGCTTCGCGAGGTACTCCTAGACTGCACCTCGGCGACGGCGGTCCCCCAGGACTCCGTCCTGTTCAGGCAGATTCACTCGCCTCTACATACACTGCAAATGGCCCCACAAAACGACAGCCTTGTCGCCCCTAGTCTTCCTCCCCGCAGTCCTATTCCTCCAAGTCGCAGAGCACCCGCCATGCAGGTGCCAAGGGGCTCGCAACGACGCGCACATTCCTCTCTCTCCCGCAGGTCATGTACCCTGTTGCCTCCACGCAAACCTCCGCGGCCGGCGTCTGGGCACATGCGCGAGCAGGAGGCCACCATTATACCACCCTGGGCTCGGAGATTCGACCCACTCCATTATATAGGACAGTCGACACTCATCCCACTGTGCCTGCCGACTACAAGCTGCATGTCCATTACACACTCTGGTTCTCTTTGTCGCCCTCTTTCCATGGGATACTATAAATAATGCATGCGCTCCGAATGGGCAACGTCTTGAAGTCTTAAGCAGCGATGCAGTCGTGCATCCGGAGAAAAGATAGACGCGCTCGATGACATGTCTAATATGATGGGCCGTGTGTTTTCGTATGTGAAAGATAGAGATACAATCGGCGTATGCAGGCTTAGACACCGACGATGAGTACTGTCAATCATATGCAACTTGGTAGACATAACCATGTGAGTCTGCGCGCTGCTCGCAGGAATATTGATCGTCATCGGATATGACGTCAAGAGATTAGATAGACGCGCTATCAGCTGCGACAATCTGGATCGCACGAAAAGTGGTCAAAGGCCATCGAACGACGACCAGACTCAGCAACCAGCGTCGAGTCCCTGCATCCATTCACTCTCCTTCTCATAACATGGTCGAAGTCAAGAACAAGGTCTGCCTCATGTAGGACGCATCCATATTCCTCCTGACCTCAACACTTACCGTGCGTGCTGCCCAAAACAGCGTACACGATGGCTGGGGTATCGCACCAGAGAAGGGCATGAAGGGCGACGCGATCGACGCCGGAAACACGACCAACATGGACACAATCGCGAAGGACCACAGCCATCGCACCCTTCACGCACACGGTCTCGCCGTCGGTCTCAGCGATGGGCTTATGGGAAACTCAGAAGTAGGGTGAGCACCTCCGAGTGTATGCGATCGCTATATCAGCCACGACTGACGACATCCGGGGTAGCCACCTGAACATCGGTGCCGGGCGCATCGTATGGCAAGACATCGTCCGGATTGACGTGGCGATCAAGAAGAGGCAATTCCACAAGAACGAGAACATCCTGGAGAGCTTTAACAGGGCCAAGAACGGCAACGGCCGTCTGCACCTTCTCGGTCTCGTAAGTACCGCATTAGTCTCAACTCGAGCTTTCCATAAACACACTTCTCATTGTCTGCATACGCTTGCAGGTCTCTGATGGTGGCGTCCACTCGCATATAACCCACCTTTACGCCCTCCTGGAGACCGCCAAGGAGGTCGGCCTCAAGGAAGTGTACATCCACTTCTTCGGTGATGGCCGTGACACTGCACCCCGCTCTGCGGCTGGATATCTGAAGGATCTCCTCGCCTTCATTGAGAAGGAGAAGGTCGGTGAGGTCGCTACCATCGTAGGCCGCTACTATGCCATGGACCGTGACAAGCGCTGGGAGCGTATCAAGATCGCGGTCGATGGCCTTGTGAAGGGCGAGGGCGAGAATGCCGAGGACCCCGTGAAGGCAATTGAGGAGCACTACAAGAAGGACGAGACCGACGAGTTCTTGAAGCCCATCATCGTCAATGGCGATGCCGGCAGGATCAAGGGCGAGTCTTACGCTCACTTTCCATGGCCAAAATTCTCACGTTTATGAAACAGACGGCGACACCCTTTTCTTCTTCAACTACCGCTCCGACCGCATGCGGGAGATCGTCTCCGTCTTTGGTCTCCCCGACAAGCCCACGGAGGTCGATGTCCCCAAGGACCTCGTAAGCTACCCGCCTCCCCTTCGTCCAGACAGACACTGACATACGATGCAGCACATCACCACCATGTCGCGCTACAATGCTGAATTCCCCTTCAAAGTTGCCTTCCCCCCACAAGCGATGACGAACGTCCTCGCCGAGTGGCTCTCCAAGCAGGGCGTCAAGCAGGCACACATCGCCGAGACCGAGAAGTACGCGCACGTCACCTTTTTCTTCAACGGCGGCGTCGAGAAGCAGTTCGCCGACGAGGAGCGCCACATGATCCCCTCGCCCAAGGTCGCCACGTACGACAAGCAGCCGAAGATGTCCGTCCACGGCGTCGCCGAAAAGGTCGCCGAGGTCGTTCGCGCCGGCACGCACGAGTTCGTCATGTGCAACTTCGCGCCCCCAGACATGGTCGGCCACACGGGCGTGTACGAGGCTGCTGTCGAGGCGATCGGCCACACGGACGAGGCGGTCGGGATCGTGTACAAGGCGTGCCAGGAGGCGGGCTACATCCTGCTCATCACCGCCGACCACGGGAACGCGGAGCAGATGATCAACCCCGAGACGGGCGCACCGCACACGGCACACACAACGAACCCGGTGCCGTTCATCATGACTGGTGACCCGAAGAAGTTCAAGTTCACCGAGGACAAGAAGGACGGGGAGGAAGAAGAGGGCGCGCTGGCGGACGTTGCGCCGACCGTGCTTGACATATTGGTGGGTGTATGCGTGCTGACATATGCCGAACACCATCTGACATTCTCCGTCGACGTGCTAGGGTCTGCCCAAGCCCGAAGGTAAGCTTGATTCCTAAAGTATTGTTTCGCTGATGCTGACGTCCTATTTGCAGAGATGACTGGACGCTCGCTCCTTGCGAAGTCCGAGTGAATTGCGATGTGACATTGGACGGTATTGAGAAGCATAAATATCTTGTAAAACGATTTAGAGGCATGCGTCACCCGCGCAATATATCATTAGACAGTTCCACCGCGATGGATTCAGGTCCTTCCGAAAGCTCTATCACGTCTGATCAATACAGGACACCGACGTCTGTAGAGGCACAGTCTCAGACATGGTCGCGTCCGTGCGGAGCCGTGGGTATCGCTATGCTTGCGCGCCGGGTAGATCCAGAATGATTTTCTGGACGCATAGTGGGATCCTTGCCGACTGCCGAAATTCTTGTATTTCAGCCATTGTTGGCGCTTCCCACCGAGACACTCCACGCACAGCTAGTTTGCTCAGGCTGATGAAGGCCACACACGACAGCTTGGCTTCAAGCTTCCAGCAGTGTATGCAGCCGAGGGTTGGTCGCAATGACTAGTCTCATCTGGCCACATTGTCTCGACCAGCCGCCCTCTTGTACCTAGAATACGTTTCAGTATGGTCGCTCTCACGCGGGCTGGTAGGTAGCATGATTGCCCCAGACCTGACGTCGCACTTACGGATGCTTTAATCTCAAACTAGGCGACTCCTCACAGGCAGCAAATGATTAAAGATGCGATAGCCCCCCCCCCATCTACGGACAGTAGGGATTTCAGAACCGACAGTCTGAGTGGAACCGCAGAATTGCGAACAACGGACTTGGTCTGGATGTTGTACGTTGACGTTTAACATTGACTGTTGAGCGTTACGACGTCATTGAGACCAATCTAGACATCGAAGGTGGGGAATGGCGAGGTTACAATATCCACCGTCCCTCCGAGAATTTCCCGCGAGAGCAGGTGTATGCGATGCGGTATTTTGGTGGAAATCATGGAGCCTGTAGGAGCCTGACACATCTCAGCCGCGTTGTTCGGTGATCTGGGAAGTAAGGCCGACACGCGCCCATCATAGCATACTTCATGCGAGATTATGGGCCGGATTCTTGCCTTCCAGCGTTCAGTCCCGTTCACGCCTCCGCGAGATTATGATGCGAGGACCAAAGCATAGCGGATTCGAACCGATCCATGCCTTGCCGTTTCTTCGCTTCGTGACGGGGCAGGGTCGGACCTGATATGGCTGGCGACGAGACTCATGAGTTCACCACAATCGAATGGCACGTAGAACGAGGACTAACACCTGATGTTTGCTTCTCCATCTTTGAGCCTCCACCTTAATGACTGCTACTTGGTGGTGTATTCACTCACCGTGGTTCTATCACGTATGGAAGGTTGACGTCCTAAATACGAAACCAGGTTCTCAATTCGACAATCTCGTTAAAGCGCGAGAGCATAGACAGCAAGAAATCAACAGCGACATTAAAGCAAATCGAGCAGCTCAAGACGATACGCCTCTCTCCGCAAGCTCCTGCACAGCGCGTGAAAGCCGCGCATTCACGCCCGCCTGCTTCTGCGCCCGCGCGTCCTTGCCGTATCGCTTGTATAGCTCTGCACCGTAATGTTAGCCATCTCATCCCACCGATAAAACAACTAGGCAATCACACTTACCCAAGAACCTCTCCCCAACCCACAGCCCCAGCGGGGCGTTCCCAACCACATCTTTCCCGCCATCCGGAGCCGGGGCACCGGGACCCCCAGTGGGCTTCGTGAGAGCGCCCAGGCCTGCAGCAAGCTGCTCGCACGTTTGGAGCATCCCACGTGCGTGGTCGCCGGCCGTGTGCAGGTAGTGCGCCGAGATGAGGGCGAGGACAAGCGCACGGAGGTGGTTGTCCTGCGCCTTCGTCGCCAGCTCGAGCGCATGCTTGAGATGCTGTCTGCAACGTGATCACCTGCGGTCAGTGATCATCTTGAGTTGGCACGTAGCGGACCGTACTTGGACTTCAAGATCTCCGGAGTGAGACACGCCTCGACCACCTGCCCGATCGCCTCCAGTGTCCCACCCATTCCGCGACAGGCTTTGACGACTTCCATGCCCCGCGCTTCGAGTTCCTCGTCGTCGTCATCGTCAAGGTCACCCGGCCAATCATCGTCTGCTGCGGATAGACCCTCTCGCCATTCGTCTCCCAACGCCGCACGCCGCCGCTGCACACCTACGCGCAATGCAATCTCGCCTGCGCGCGCAGCGACGTGCACGAAGCTACCTGCCTCCGAATGGTGGGCGGCCGCTTGATAACATCGGAGTGCGCGCGCAGGTCGAGCGAGGGCATGTGCGAGGTGCGCGTGATGCAATGCAATGCGCGCGGAGAAAAGGGGAAAGATGTCGTAGGTGCGGGTGTGTGAGATTAGCGTATTGAGGTTCTGGGGGAGGAACGGATCGTTGTCAGTTCCGGGGAATGGTTTCAACAGCCGAAAGTACGCGCCTCTTCTGCGGTGTCGAATTCGCTCCGCATGGTCGAGACCTACGGATTTGTGTGAGATGTCGAGGATCGAGTGAAGCGAAGGGCGAGACTTACTGCTATGACTTCGCACAGCAGGTCAGCCTTTATCCTCGCCAAGCGCTCCTCGACCTCCTGCACGTCCCCCATGCTCGCCCACAGCGAGACTAGAAAGGATCGCCTTAGCATGCATGTGACCTCTGGATGGACTCAGACCGAGGTGACGTACAACTTATCTCGCGGGAAGCTTCCGAGTCCCACGTAGCCAGACCCTCCGTAGCGAACACCTTCCGTTTCGGCTTACGGCCGACTGCGTCCCTCTTCGACGTACTGCTGATGAGAAACGCGAGCAAGAACAGTACTCTGGGATGCGTCACTTGGACCACCAGCGATGAGCTATCAGGAAGCGCAAGCTAATGAGATGGGCGCGCATATAGTCAGTCAGTCAGTTGCAAAGACTGCGTAAGAGGTACACAGGAGATGTACCTCGATGAGTCCATCCGGAAACTTGTCCAGTATCTCCGAGTCGAGAAGCGCATGTAGGTGAGATAGTCGCGGGGAGACCTCCGCCGCCTCTCCCGTATGTGTATAATACACCACAGACAGCATCAACAGATGGACTGCCATAGCCGCCTCGAACGTGTTATCAAACATAATAAACGTCTGCTCCGTCGGTGGCGGCGCATTCGCCTTCCCCGCGCCCGCCACCCCATTGCTCTGCGAAGGCTGCAGCGGCTTTCGCGCTTTGGGAGTCGCCATCGGCTCGTAAGAAAGCCCCAGAGCAGCCTCCGACCGCTGGGCCGCGTCACGAACATCTGCCCACATCCCAGCTGCAACGAGGATGCGTGTGCGGAGGACGCGTGCGAGGAGCGCCACTTGCTTGTGGCACTGCGCCGTCGCGCGGTTCTCGAGCTCTTGGACGGCTGCGAGCGCAGCGTGGACGTCCTGCAGGCTCGGGTGGGGCGTCGACGAGCCGGAGCGGTAGTGCGAGGAATTGCTGTTCGGTCGAGGCTTCCCGGGAGTAGACAATATGGATGCGCCAGGGGAAGGTTTGGGGGCGGAAACGGGCGTGGTGAGGAAGGATATCAGTGTCAATTGAGCTGAATAGATGATGTGAGGGGGATCAGTGGGCATGAAAGACGCGAGGAGGGTGCGAATTTGGTTCCGGGCGAACTTAGTCTTGTGCTGCCAGTGCGAGAGCTGGGCTTGGAGGAGTGCGGATTGGTGCTTGTATGCGCGTAAAGATGGGTGCTTTGAACATCATCAACAATCGGGCATGGCTGAATGCTGAGGATTTCATGTCATACCTTCTGAGCTATTATGGACTATGGACATACGTGGGTCAGCTCCCCCCACAGGCACGAGTGCAGGCCACGAACACACTTACACCTCGGCTCAGGGCTTTCTCGACCTGATAACACGGGTTGATAACCTTCGGAGCTGATTGGAGACTAAAGCGCGCACCTCTTGCTCTATCCCTCGCGCCCAGCCGTGCTCCTCGCTCTGGCTGAATCCTCCACCGATTACTCGCATGCCCAGCTCCGCCAGACCGGTCCAGGCCCTACATTCAATATCCGGAGGAAGCGCAGGAAGAGTCAAGCATTTACGAAGCGCGGCGAGTGAAATAATAAGGGAATGGACATAGTACTTGTGGTTGGGTGGGTGAGCGAGCAGAGAAGGTAAGCTGACGAGCAATATTGCGGGAGGGATGGGTCTGAGGCCATCTTGAGAGGGATCGAAAGAGAGAGGTTTTGGTCGGAGTGCGGGATCGCTGCTTGGAGGGAGGCTGGTGAGCGGTTCGAGCTCTGAAGAGTAGCCGTCCGAGTGGGGGATGGGACAAGGACTTGACTGTATGCGCTGTCGCTTGAGTGGACGGGGGTTGCTGTCGGCGGGGGAGTCGTACACGGGATGCACTGCGGCGCGAGGTCGAGACTGAATGGGTGGTGCGGGCATCTTTGACGCGATGATGGCGGTCAGGGTGAGAGCGTTGTTGGCCCCTCCGCCCCGCCGTTCGCCTCGGACGTAACAGATATTGGGCGCTTTGGGCGAAGGACGCGTTATGTCACGCGTTACCTGTCGCGTCGAAGGCGCTGACCCGCCGCTAGCCTCGGGCCAGCCAACGAGGTTTGCCCACTGATACTATCACCCGCCAAGTACTCGCACATGGTTTCCGGTGTCTCGCTTTCTTTCAACTGTGAAATGTCGTCTATTACGTTTGAGTGGTACTTGATCGGGCATGATTATCAGGTGACGACCATGCGTCTACTATATGCTTCTGTACTGATCATGGGCCTCATCAGGACGTTCATAGAAGAAGGCAACAGTGGCTATCTGTCGTGTCCCAACTAATTCCGACAGGCACAGAGTACGCCGGCAGCTTAAGCATACACCGGCTGCCGAGTACGTTTGTCAAGGCAGTTGGAGCCTGAGGCATTGTGGCTAGTTATCCTTGGTCCGCAACACAGAGAAGACGCAAAATATGTTAACCCACTTGCAGATGCATGTTTAGCAATAGAGGAGTCGTCCTTCAGCATATGAAATCAATGGGGCCCGTACACTCACAACCGAGCCTTCCCTCAAGTTCGAAGGCAGGAGTTTGACGGAGAGCGCATAGACTCCGGCGTCCGCAACAACAGGGAACCACGCCGTACATCACGAAGGTGAACGAAGTACCCTTGATTTCGGTCGTAAAACGGTGAAAACAGGTTCTTTGGCAGACGGAGAAACCTTATACTGAGATATCCAAGAGGTACTGCAGACCATCCGGAACGATTGCAGCTCTACAAGGCACAGAGAAGGTTACAACTGTACCTTATGCGCACACTATTCTCCGGTCAGAACACGGAAATTTGACTTCTATACTCTTATCTGAAGGACTTGGGTCAGATGCAACCCCTTGAACAAGATCACGGTCCAACGAGATCGCCAACGTGGTCCATGTAGCACCAGCATTGGCTAACCTTAGTCCCTGAATGCAGCAAAGCAAGTGCTACTGGGTCGACATCAAGTAACCGTCTGCGCTCTCGCACGGAGTGACTCCGGAGATGTACATCATAGGCTTGTCTCACTATTCAAAACATGGCGTATATAAGCTGATAGTCCTGCCATCTCATTTTCCCTATACCCTCCAATCCAGCTTGGGTAAACCAGAAGTACCTCCTCTAGGAATTCACCATGCAGTTGTTGCCCAAGTTCTCTCCACTCGTACTCGCTGTGCTCGCCCTGGCGAGCGGCGCAAGGGCGACGCCCGTCGCTGCCGTGAGTAGCATCCCCTGATTCATCCGTGTTTTCGCATGAATGACCGGTGTATACTCCTAGGATGTTAAGGTCACTTCCGACGAGGTGAATCCAGCAGCGTACCTCGTGTCCCATGAGCAGATGATGTACTGGATCGCCAACACCGACGCCGAGCTCACCTTCGTCGGCAAACCGATCAATCCGCTCACCCCTCGCTCAGCACAAGACACCACTGTCACCTACTGTAGCGACCGCATCGACGACGTCTGTGGCGGCGCATGCACCGTGTACACAGGCGGGGCGACATGTCTCGATGCACCAGACACCAACTGCCTCGCGGCCACAAACAATGTTGGGTTCTGCGACCGCAGTGGTTGCGGTCATAGCTGCAACCAGCTGTCTACTTGCGGCACACGCCTCGACAATGGCTTCTGCTACACCCCGGGAACAGCTTCCATCTTAGTTTCCGCTGCTTGATGTCATCCGAGTAGTGGTACGTTGATTCAAGTACAGTGTGAAAACGGCACACGGTAATGCTAACCACTCGTCTCAGGAAATTACAGTTCCCATGAGGTTACAGAGAAGTGTGGTTGGGGTTTGTACAACAGTATGCAGATGAAGATGGTGTTTCTACCGAGTTAGCATGCATGATATCGATGACTTGAAGGTTCCACTGGCCCTGGCAGACAAAACTACGACAAGGTTACTATTTGCCTGAAACCAAAGCAAGCGTCACCAATGTCTGCAAGATGTGCCTCTGCAGGTCGTTGAATGCGTTCGTACTTGTCTCTCTTGATGGTTGTTGTATATAAGGATATGCACAACAAGTCGAGTGTGCGCAATTATTAACCATAAGCGAACGTGAAATTTAACACTACGGTACTCGCCTACTACCATCTCATTACTTAGACTGCACCTCACGTTTTAACCTCCATTGTCTATTCGCGATATCTACAGCGTGAACTATGCAATATTCCATGTCCCAGCGCCAATGCAAACACATAAACAGGCATTTCTGAGCGTAAGGTCTTTCGAGTGAATGGATGCTGGTGCGACGCTGATTCACCACCGAATGCGAGCGACCCGCAAAGCGACCCCGCAAGCCTCGCAAGCCTCCGAAATCACCGCGTCGACGGTCGCTCTCTTCAAGCTTGCGGGAACAGCAACCATCTTCAAGGGAAGCTTCGACTTTGCCGCTCGTGTGATGTATGCCACTAGGGCGTCGCGGTACGGAAAACCACCTGACCCAGGGAGCAGTTCCAGATACTTCAAGCTCCGCGGCAGGCGTTCGAAAAGGGCGGAAGAATAGGTGCCCGGGGTTATAGCCAGGCGCTTGAGGGACGGCAGACATTGGATGACTTCGTCCATGAACGAGTGCTTGCCCACACGGTCCAATGCGTCGTCGATGATGATCAAACGTAGATGCCTCAGGCTTGGTGCCACCGATCGAAGCGCGGAAGGTAGAAGATGTACACAATCCTCGACGTTGAATACGATTATCAGTGTTTGGAGTTGAGGCGAGGAAGCAACGGGGAAGAGCAGCTGCACATGGGTCTGTGCGTAGACGTCGGCACGGACGCATGCCCACTTGAGTCTAGGGAACCTGCGCAGGACAGGGGCACTGAATTGAGCGCATCGAGTGATACGGGTGGTGACATTTTCGAGGAGAGGGAACTCTGCGACCTCCCGGAGCAATTCTGGGTAGAAGCGTCCCGCGAGGGACAGACTTCGCACACCACGAACTCCGGGCGCTCGAATGACAGCGCATTGCATGGACTCGGACTTGGTTGGAGGCCAACCTCCGTATTCCCAACGAAGCCAGAGGCTCTTGAGCCCACCAGGGGGGATTTTTTGAAGCCACGAGAGGTGCTCGGAGAGCAGGGAGGGATCCTGGACTTCCAAGTCGAGGTGTCGGATTGACGATAGAAGGTGGGGACACGTCTGCATAGTGCGAGCGAACCGCTCGGCGCGGATATTTCGTGAGTCCCGGATATACATAAATTGTAAGATCGATCATGTTGCACAGCGCCGCTTGAGCGGGTGCAGCCCATCTCCGACAGACAAGTGCCGCAGCAAGGAGACTACCTGTCTCTCCGCTTTCTTGGCAGGCCTCGAAGATATACAATAGGACATCGACGTTGAGCATTCTGGGAGGGCATTCAGGTCAGAAAGATGTAATTACGGTGAAAGAACGACAGAATCAGTACGATTCGTGTGTAGTTCGCACCTGTGTCCCCAAAAGGTAGAAATTACTGACAGCGATACGCCAACAAGTCAAGCGCCCGCAGATCAGAAGTAAGTGTCACGTGTGTGCGGCAACTTTGCCGCGCGGCGAATTGCCACCGAAACGTCCCTTCAAGCGAAAACCATTCGCTGTCCGCTGTCCGGAGATAGCTGACTCGGAGTCCTAGACTGATTTTTGGTGAGTCGCTATCAAGGATTCTCTCACACTCTTTGATATCCTCCGCAGGTACCTGCATCGCAGCCCCGTTCCTCTGCGACAGGTGTTCTGCCAGTGACTCATTCGAGAGCCCGGCTCTGGGGCTCCTATAGTCCTTGTAGAATTGACGATCAGTTACTACCATGCAGGTTCTCTCACAGAGACAGAGGTATTCGATTGAGACACTTTACCAGGTCGCGGACCGTGCGGCGGTCTGCTGCCGTACTCAACAGGACATGAAAATAAAATCAGCAGTTATTGGTCGAGGCCCGACTACACCAGGAACAAGGTGTGTATGTTTGGTATGGATTTGGGTACATCAGTGCCTTGAGCGTTGACCGGTAGCTAACCAGTACAATGTTTCTCAAGGCAGTTGAGGGCCGCGCTGGACAGGCTAGGCTATATGCAGACCATGACTCACAGAAAGCGTACCAGAACATGTATCGACCACTTCTAAATGGTATTATTAGTGCATAAAGTCCCAGCCATCAGCATATGACATCATCAAGAGCAGAAGACTCAATAGATCAGGTTTTCCCTTTTCGAAGACAGGAGCTTAGATGAGAGCGCACGGCTTTCGCAACGAAGGATGATCGAGTCATTCATGGTGTCATGGTGAGTGGAAGATCCTGAGTGCCGGACAGGTTCGGTAGCAGAAGACGGAGGTATTTGAGTTCAGGCTGACAGTACTGCAGACCGTTTGGCTCCGTCACGATTCCACAAGACACAGCGAAGGTCTGAACTGCATCCTATGCACCACTTGCCGGTGAGCAAAGTATCAATGTATTCGTGGGGTCAACCGGCTGAGGTGCCCCGCTGCCAGTATGACAGATGCAGCTCGTTGGGCGAATTGGTCATCCGCTCAGACCACCAACGTGGTCAACGCAGCGGCGGCATCGGCCGGCCGCAATTCAGTCGTGCAGCAAGGGAGTACTCCTTCACCGAGGAGTGCGGAGTACTCCCCGTACAACGGCGTTCCTTGGGAGATGACCAATATGGCCTTGCCTCGCCTGACACATTGCGTATAAAAGGTGGAAGTCATGTCTTCTCTCTCATCCTCCGATTCAACCACTCCTGGCTCGGTTCACTCACTCCTAGGCACTAGCTTTTTGAAGTGTACCATGCTGTTCCTAGTCAAGCTCGCTCCCCTCGTATCTATCGTGCTTGCTCTGGCAAGTAAGGCGAAGACAACGTACCTCGCGGCAGTGAATAGCATTCCCAAATTCATCCATCGTTTGGCGTTAATTGCTGATACAGGTTCCTAGGAACCCAGTGGCCCCTCCGACGAGGTGAATGAAACCAGTTCTTGCCGCAAGTGAGGGCCGCGAACTGATCACGATGCACATGTTTTAGCCTGCGACGTACGTTGTATCCCACGAGCAAATGATGCACTGGATCGCCACGACCGAAGCCGAGCTCACCTTCGTTGGCACACCGATCAACCCGCTTGCTCCTCGCGCAGCTACAAACACCACCGTCACCTATTGTACTAACCGCGTGGACGATGTTTGTGGCGGTCCGTGCACCGTGTTCACCGGTGGAGGCGTGTGTATCAGCACACCTAACGTGGTTTGCCTCTCGGCTACAAGCAACGTTGGCTTCTGCGACAGCAGTGACTGTCGCGGTACCTGCAGCCAGCTGTCTGATTGCAACACAACCCTCAACTTCGGGTTCTGCGCCACTCCCGAAACAGCCTCCATCCTGCTCTCTGCCTGAGCAAGTCGTGTTACTTACGTCAATCTGGATCTAATGCAAACATGGAACACGGTGAAACTTGAATCGACCACTCATATCAGGAGTTTATAGCTTACGTGATATCATAGAGACGTACAAGGTCGGGGCCCAGACGACAATATGAACATGATACTACTATGGGTGTCTCTGCTGTAGTACCGTGTATGATATCGTGATCTGAACGTAAATTGCCTGACGACTACTAGGTTGATTGAGAACAAGCGACATACGTCGAAGCCACAAAACCAGCATCAAGTTGGGCCTCCGCACCTCTGTTATGTTCTCAATGCGATTGTACGCAGCTCAGTCTAGTCATTGTAAGGTATACCACGTTTTTAGCATATCTCATTACGGGCGCCACACCGTCGCAACTCTCCTCTTCGCCTACAATTTGTTCGGCTCTCACCGCGTTCTCGCGTCAATGAGACGCTTTGGCTTGCCGAACATTGAGTGTTGTTCCGTTCAAATCGTCTGGCTCTGAGGTGTCTAATTGACAACGACAGGTGGGGAAACGTCTGCATAACGCGAGCGAAGTGCACGAAGCGCAGGTTCTTCCGTGATTCCCGTGTCAGTCCCTCCCCGACAAGCCTCGAGGATCACCACGGAGGGATGTCGACATTGAGCATGATTGTACGTCGTGCAAGTTAATTGTTGGAGTGCGTACGGCGAGGCAAGCGTGGTGCGAGCCTCGGCCGTGTTTCGGGCGGACAAGTCTTGTCGCGCCGTTGACGCGCCTTGTCCCGCCTTGTCCCGCCTTGGCGGATTCACCCCGTTTTGTTTACGAATGCCACGTCTCACTCATCTTGTAGTATGGACGTCTTGTTACAAATGTGTACTTAACTCTTTCGATTCACGTTGGCTCACCTCAGTCCCGCGTATAACGCGTGCTGAGGTGAGCATATGCTTGTTACTTATTCTACGTACTCATACTGATTAATACGCTGTAGTTACATTGCTATAGGTATTACAATATACTAGTCCCGCGTATAACGCGTGCTGAGTTACATTGCTATAGGTTATGAGCCCTGCCTTCTAAGGCAGACTTCAGGCACTAGAAACTTACCCCTTTAGGCAACCCCTCCTCCCCGAAATGGCGTCCATCAAGCTTACTGACGATGTCGTCCGAGTTCCTAAACTCGACGTCAG